CATTGATTTAGTCTAAGGAGATGGTCGTGCAAGGGAAATAATGCTTTGCTCTCAGCTGCTCCATCTGCAGAGCACAGACTGTGCTTATGTGTCCCCTCAGAGTTGGAAGTGACGTGGAGTTGGACCTCAGGAGCAGCTGTGGGATAACCTGGGTGTGTGGCTCTCTGGTGGAGCAGGTGCAGAGACTGGGGCTGCAGAGATGGGGTAAAGATTCTGATCTATAGTCAGCTGAGAAGCCACTACAGTGGCCTGTGGGCCTTTGGTCCTCATAATACGCTGCTCAAAGTCTCCAAAAAGTATCCACTCACCATGGCTGGACTCCTCCACAGCTTCCCTTGCACTGACTTTGCAGTCACTCTGTGGGATTGCTTTGTTGGATATTTCCAACATGAGGAAGGCATCAGGAAATGGCACAGGACTAGGGATGCTTTTGCTTTCAGCCTCTCAGTGCTGTCCAGGCTCTTAAAGGCTTCTCCAAACTGTGACTGCTGCCGTGGCCCCACGTGGCACCCGATCATCCAGTCTGTGCAGCAGAGGGACCACAGCAACCTGTCTGCTCCTCTGCAGTTCCTGCCCGTGTTCGGCCTCATCAGTCAGAAGTAAAGTATTTTTTCTGCTTCCTTTGCTCAATAAAAGGGGTTTCTTACTGCTGAGAACCTTATTTATTGAGAATTTACATTGTTCGTTTGTTACATTTGTATTAAATGGGGAGGGATTATTATAGATGTCATATGGTAATATGTTTGTCCATGCTTGGAGCTGGTCGACCCAGGTTCTGAGCAGCCTGATCTGCTCTGCTTTGAACAGAGGGGTTGGACTGGGTGATCTTCCCAAGCCCCTTCCAACCTCAAAGACTCTGTGGCTTGGTCATTTTCTGTAAAAGCCTTAAACTTCAAGTAGGGAGTTACCCAGCCACACTAAGAGCTGAAATATGTTTTATTTTAGTGATTATTGTGAAATTGCTCTGGATTTTGAAATGTACAGCTCTGCTGTCAAAACAGTATAAAAATACCCACTGTGCTTTTCAATAATGAAGTTGAATTTTCTTGACTTCTGCAGTGTGGAGTGACAGCACGTTGAGGTCACACAGAAAAGATAGTCCTGCCCTGCAGAGTTCACTTCTGTAGCAAAGAACCTGAGCTAGGTTTACATACTTTTATTTAGTACCTAAATAAAGGCTTTTAAATGAGCAGAGGCTAATTATTGGTTAACTAAAAGTAATAAAACAATTCAAGATTATAAGAGAAAGCCAGTTGTTGGGACACTGTTGGATATGCATTATATTGCCATTAAATCTGAAGTGGAGAATAATTTTTACTCTCCTTGCTGGTTAAATGAGATTTTACACATTGCAGTGTGTGCCATTAAGAAGATGCACAAGCACATCAACTGAGCAGTGAGAGATCCTTGCATGCTGCTTTTGTCATTAGCAAAAACAATTTAATAAGCTTCTAATAAAAGCAGAAGTGAAGCCCATGAAGCATTTTTTATGACGTGGTTTTGAATGAAGGATGGAATCTCACTCATAGGACTAGATTGGACTGTTTCTCACCTTTGTGGCTGTTAAATCACTGGAAGGTGGGCAGTATAATTTTTTCCCCTCTTTTTCTTTCCTCTCCCTTCCCAGTTCTGAGAATTGGAGATCTGCCATCTTTCTCTTTGTTCTTGGGAGAGAATCCCAAGAGTCGATCACCAAGCTGCAGGTAACCTGAAAGGAACAAATTGAAATGGCCTTGGCTGTGATTATTTGTTTGTGATATAAATCTCTTTGGGTTTTTACAGTAATGGATTGTTCTGTGTTGTAATTTCTGTGTTAAAGCAGTACAGATGTGAAGTCTCAGGTGTGTTATTAGCTTGAAATATGTTCTTTGCTTTGCATAATCTGTGTAAATAATTTAGGATTCTTTCATCATAATGGAAAACCTGTTACTTGTCAAGGGAAAAGGAAAAAAGCAGGCTCTGTGCATCATCAGAGGAAATTCTCAGGAATGCTGAATAAGGATTCTGCCTGCATCCCTTCATGGAGGTCCAGCGTGTGCATCTTAGAGGAGAGGCCGCGTTGCAGACGTCTGGCATCACTGAGGGCTCTGGGGTTGTCAGATAGACAAAATAATAGCTTGAATTTAGGAAACCCATGGTGAGAATGCATTTACAGTTGCAGCTACACACTGCACCTCATGCTCAGTGGCCTTTTAGCTGATCTCTGGGGACACTGCGTAGGAATCAGACCGTTTTGTATGGGGTGTTCCCTTCTGGGACAGCTTACCCTGGCTAGGCATCCCCGTGTCGTGCAGGAGGCAGCCAGGCTAAACCTGGAGACCAGAGCTAAACTGAATTAATAACCAGAAAAAATGAGATGAGAAGCCAGTTTGGATGGGGAAGAGGCAGAGGGAGGGAAAGGTAAGTTGCAACGCTGATGCTGTGCTGAAGGACCCGACCCCACAGTGGTGGTGTGCAGGGCTCAGCCTGTGAGTCAGAGAAATGCCCCTGCTTGTGGTCACCTGGCTAGAACAAGAAGTGTGAGGGTAAAATTACAATGAGAAATGCTTGGCTGTAAATAAGATTTCCCTAGACAGTGTTCTTGTCTGTGTCGTGTGCTTACCTTAATTTTTTGTCTGGGCACGTTATCTGGCCAATACTCAATCCTGAAATCAGGAATAAATTAGGGAGGAGAGGCCATTATCTTCCATCTTCAATTAAAATTTTTTCAAAAGAGAAACGCAAAGCAAAACAAGGTCTTACGAATTAATGAATTCCGGGTTTCGTGTTAATTGTAATGAAATATAGGAATGCAAATCCAGTTCTCCTTCCCTCTTCTAAATTAGACACCTGCAACAACTTGAGCTGGACTTTGACATCTGGACCTTGACTGCTTCAGAAACTAAGTCTTGAAATCTGGTGCTGAAGTTAAACAAGTTCCTTTGCATTTGAGAACACAAAAGTAGGGCAAGACTTGTCTGCACTAAAGAGATGAGTCTGGCTGCTCATCTCTTCTTGCCTTCCTTTCTCTTGCAGAGGAACAGTGTGTGACAGCCCCGTCTGATGGCTGAATCTCCTGATGTGCACTGGGAGCAGCATTCTGGCAGGGCTTTTGTCACCTGCAGTGTCAGACTGGCTGACATCTGCCCCAGGCTCCTTCTCCTTTACTTTGTGACTCTTTATGCCTCAATCTTTATATGTCATTTAACCTGCTTTCCTTACGAGATGGAAGAATCTCAGGGGGGTTTTCTATTCTACCTTTGATCTTGGTGTCGCAGAAAGTTACTGTGCTGATTGTTTTAGCCTGGAGTAATTGAATTATACCGTTTGGGGGGGGAGAGTCAGCTAAATGCTTCCTCCAGAAGAATGAGCTTTTCAAAACCTGTCCATTATACTTTGTTAAATCACAGAAGTTTGTAACTGCCTTCCGGGTACGGGGAGTTGCTGTTCAGTATCCCCCAACTCTCTGTGCCTATATGAAGAGTGCACTGAGTGTAAATATTGAGAAAACTATAGCTAAATTCAGGAATTTACTTATCAGTAAACAGTCTCCAACACTAGGCTGAGAGAGAATGTTTTTTCAGATTGGAAGTCTGTTTCCTGTGTGCCTTGCATGAATGTCACTGGAGACTTGAAATTGTATTGCCAGAGTTTACAACCAGATCTATGAGTTATGTCCAAATTCTGAGATGTGACAGAAATGCTATTGCAAAGGTTACTGCTGGGCACCTGTATCCAACTCAGCTGAGAGAGGAAACCTACGGCCAGACTGATACAAATACAAACAAAATAAAAAGAATAACTTTGGTACAAGTTTGTCAGAGAACAAGCATGAAAGAGCTTGAGAGTTGCCACTTAGGTAGGTGTCAGTCTCTTCTCCCAGGTAGCAAGTGACAGGATGAGAGGAAACAGCCTCACCTTGTGCCAGGGGAGGTTTAGTTTGGGTATTAGGGAAAATTTCTTCATTGAAAGGGTGGTTGTGGAAGTTTGGACTTGGCTCCCTGCCAAGTGCTCAAGACCACAGCAAAAGGCTTCCCTCCCCCTTATTATGAACACCGGGGAAGGAAAGGGAGGGGAAAAAAAACTACCAAAAAAACCGAAATAACAGAACCAAAGCAGTATATATATTTACACTTATATACAGTTACAGAAACTATATACATATAAGAAAGAGAATCCCTTCCCCCAAAAAAACCCCCAGAAAAAAACCAGATATACGCGGCCAATAAAGAAGTAGCAAAATGAAATCTTAATACTTTCCTTAAGAAAGTAGAGTCCACACCACCGGATCTCTCCTCTCAAATCGGGAAGAAGCAACAGCCTCTCAAAAAACTCCCAGGCCTACACTCCCACGGGAGAAACCCGCCCACAGAGAGGTTGCTTTGCTTTCTCCAACTCCGCCGGAAGAGATCTACCTTCCGACTTCCTCCCCCCTTCTATTTATAGTTCTGCTTACATAAAGAATAGAATGGAATATTGGGATATGGGGACTTCCTTAGTTTCGACGTGGTTGCCAGGAAGAGGCCTAAACCAAACCACTACAGTGGTCAAGCCGTGGCACAGGCTGCCCAGGGCGGTGGTGGAATCACCATCCCTGGAAGTGTTCCAAAAAAATGTGTGGATGTGACACTTTGGGACATTGTTTAGTGGTGAACATGGGGGGGTGGGGGCGTTGACAGTTCAGCTTGTTGATCTTAGAGGTCTTTTCCACAACCATTCTGTGATTCTGTGATAACTTGGAGAAGCACACAATTTAACCTTGGTATTGGTCAGGTCATTGACTGTGTAGGTCGTCACACTCAGATAGTAGCACTGCAGATACAGAGCTAGAAATTATTGTATTTGCGTTAAACCACATGAGAGAACATGTATGACTTCTTGAAAAAATAGCCCAAACCCTAAAAATCTATCAGTCCTCATCTGTGCTCCAGCAGAGTTTAAATTATAATCACTTAGAAATTTATTAACCAAGAGGTTAAGTGGAATTTTCCACTCTCGGGACTTGCATCCATCCAGTGCTGGGTAACAGTGGTGTACAGCGAGGAGCTGCTTCCCCAGCGAGGAGCTGGTCCCTCCTCTGCAGGAGATGGTGAGGTTGGACATGTCCCTGATGCCAACCTGGATGAGCTGAGTGCCTTCCTACAGAGAGGTTTGGGTACAACCCTGTCATTTGGGGCTGACTCCTGTGACCAAAGGGAGGCTGGAGCTGTGCAGGGCTGCCATGTCCTCAGCGTCCCTCTGGATGTTGGCAGAGGGCTCAGTTTGGGTTAAAAACGTAAGAGCTTTTTTTTTTTTAACTGTTACCAATAACCTCAGGAGCCAAAGGTAAGTGCTTGTTAACTGCAGTACCGCCTTCTGTTTCGTACAAGAAAAGAAAATATTTTTGTTTCGGGGCTTTATTGTGCCCATTTTTAGTCCTGGGGGAGGGTGTATTCTGTGGTGCTTTACTTTGGTTTGTTTCTCATTTGCCTTTTAAGTGACTTTTTATTCTGTTCTCAGTGTGGTTTTTCTGGTCGTTGCTTCCAAGGCTCCTTGGAATCGCCAGGGTTGGGAGCTGGTCATTTCCCCATTCAGCTACTGTGTTTTTCCCCTTGCCTCATTTACGGCAAGAATTGGTTGGCAGCCTGCTACAAAATAACAATAAAATAATAAATATCACTTTACTTTTTTACTAGGGAAAGATGACCTTCCATACAGTTAATGGTAGATTCTGCCTTTTTTTCCTGGAAGGGTGTTTAAATTTTCAAGTTGAGTTGATCCTGTATTGCACCTCAGCAGGTGTTATCACTGCCACTCTGGTGGGAATGTGGGATATTTGAGTGGCCTTGTACTTTCTGTGGCTGATGTGGTGGCCAGTTGTATTCAGAGCAACATAAAAAGCCTAAAACTAGGTGAACACACTAGAAGTGACTGCCTGCTTGGGTTTTTGTTTGTTTTTTTTTTTATCTTGCCCCAGTGTGGGGTTGTGTGTAATGACTTTCTAGCAGCAGGATTTCTGAGACATGCTTGTGGTTTTGCGTTTTCTTTAGCTTGTTGTGGTATAAGTATGAAGATCTCGGCAGAATTTGTTTTACACACCTGTGTTGAGTAGTGCTGTAATACAGAATTAGATGTTGAAGCTCCTCATTTTGGTCACTCAGAAATCTTTTCCTGACTGTGAGGAAAGGGCTGGTGTAGGTCTGGTGAAAAGCTAATTCTTTAAATGAAAGTATATGAGATTAAAAAAGTCATTAAAATTCTGTAATGGTTTCTCTAAAGCAGTTGTGGAGCAATCCCTGGCTGTGGGATCAAGGGTGAAATGTCCCAGAGGCAGAGGAGTGTTGGAGTGGCCTTGCACCTGGATTAGGTGCTGTTCTGGACAGGGCAATAAAAACAAGGTTGTAAGGACAGACAGACTGCACTGAAATGAGTGTGTAAAGCAGTTTTTTACTGATTGTATGAAGAAACCTATTCAAGAAGAACAGAAGTCAGAGCCGAAAACTCCTTTGCCTGTTGCGATTCAGATGATGAGAGATGTAAGGTGTGTGCCAGTGCTGGTGAAGCACAGCCTGGATTTGGATTAGCTTGCAGGAACGTGCTTTAGGAGAATCTGATGAGGATAAAGGTGGGAAATCTTGATGCAGGTTTATGGAAGATACTATGACAGTGATGTTGTGTAGTGACTCTCGAGATGTTATAGAAACATCTGTTAAAGGAAGGATCCTCACCTAAGGCATTTAAAATTAGTCAGAACAGGATAAAAGTACACCAAATCCCAAATCCCAGCATTGTGTTTTTCCCATAAGAACCCGAAGCAGCAGCCCCTTTGTGGCTCCTGGGAATGGAGCCTGCCCTGAAATGCAGCGTTCATTCAAAGTTTTACATTTTGCTTCTTCCTTTATCATTTCCCGTGCAGGATTCTGATGGGAGAGCAGGAGAGGGGAAGAAGGAGCATCAAATACTTTCAAGACTTTTGATGGAAATCTTTTAACCACTCCATCCCATGATGGCTGAATTGTATTTGTTGTCACTTTTGAGGCCTCTCTTTTCCCAGAGGGACTGGGGAAAAGCAGCCTGAGAGTTTGAGTGCTGAGAACTGGGGTTTTTTTTTGTTTCCATGACATGTCACTGCTGTCACTGACTGTTCTTGCATTGATATCAAACTGTATCTAAGCAAAAAAACCCTTTAAAGAGATGAAGGAGGCCTACAAGAGAGCTGGAGAGGGATTTTTTTAGAAGGGTATGTAATGACAGAACGAAGGGGAATGGCTTCAAACTAGAAGAGGGTAGGTCTAGGTTGGATATTAGGAAGAAGGTCTTGCCTGTGAGGGTAGTGAGGCCCTGGCACAGGTTGCCCAGAGAAGCTGTGAATTCCCTATCCCTGGAAGTGTTCAAGGCCAGATTGGACGGGGTTTGGAGCACCCTGGACTAGTGGAAGGCGTCCCTGCCCACAGCAGTGGAGTTGGGGCCAGATGGTGTGTGAGGTCCTTTCCAGTGTGAACCATGCTGGGAATCTATGATTCCATGATCTAGCTTTCTCTTTTCTACTTCAGAAAGATTCAGGGTCCTAAACCATCCACATCCTCTGTGTTGCCTTTCAGATGGTTTGAAACTCAAACCCAGCAACCAGTCTCCTGTGACTTCTGCTGAGTGCAGCTCCTCCACGGGCGTTTGCCACATTTATATGCTTTGAGTCACCAACCGCAGCGGTGGTCGGAAGTGAGCTGGGGGAGGGAGGGCAGTTCCAGTGAGCATGGCATTTAACCCACAAAATGAGAGCTGCAGCAGGAACTCTTCTCCCTGCTTTTTGGTTCTCTCACAGCTTGAGTGAGTAAGAAAAAACGTGGGGTCTCTGGTCAAGCAGAAGTAAGTGATACGCCTGTTTTGGGGGGGAGTCGTGGTCCGTGCCAGATCCTTGCTTGCTTTCGAACGTAATGTTTGCTTTGATTGCATCTGTTTCTGAAAGCTCGTGGTGATAACTTTGCTGTCACTCTTTTTGCTGAATTTGATGTTTTGGAGTGCCAGAAAAATGTGAACTAACCGTGGTCAGTGTCGTCCAGCTGGGTTTTATAGCAGGGAATGTGTGCAGCCCTCACATCCCTGACAGGGGCTCTGCTGGGCCGTGGGCAGAAGGAAGAGGTGGGTTCGAGGAAAATGCTGGAGTTAATGAAGCAGCACAAGAGGAAGAAGGGTGTAGCTGGTGGCAGGGTGGGAAAGGCTTTGCTCCTTGCTGAGCAGCAGGAGAGGGTTGGGAGCTAGTCCAGTGTAGGGCAAGGTGTGAAACAGCCAAGGAATTAACTGTAGGCTTGCTTTGTTTCAGCGGAATGCTGCAAAATCTCTTCTTCTAAAAGAAGGCTGGAGGAGAAGTCCCATGGATCAGCAAGTGTAGGGTGTGCCAAACCAGGAGATTGTCATAACATTTCAGGGTCTTGCTGCTATCACAGACCTTCAAGATATTTTATTTTAAACAGGGATTATTTTTGAATACAGCTACATGGGGACTGGGTGCCAAGTCCAAGATCTGAAACTGGCTTTTGTGGTGGGAGGAAAGCCTGGGAACTGGAGTTCAGCCATTTGGGTTCAACTGGTCTCTTTATTACTTCACTCAGTGGAGCACCCAAAATCCTTGTGTTTTATCTTAGTCTAACAGAAAATTATATCGTAGCCTCCAAATTTGTGACAGCCTCTAAGAGCAGTTTTTCAAAAATACCAGCTTTCCTCTGGGTGCCAACACTGAGGATAACAGGAGACACTTGAGAAAGTTCTCAGTGCCATGAAATTCCTGGTGGCTTTGAATTCTGTCAGAAAGATTGATGTTATTAGTGAAAATACAAATCGTACCTCAACTGAGGCATTTCAGAAGTTTTGTTTAGGTTTTACTTTAGTAGGAGCCTTAATTACCTATTATTTTATTAATATAATGCAAAAATTTACCTCTGGAAAGCATCATCTGTGTCCTTTCTTGCTTGGATTGGTTTTGAACAGAGGAATTGTGAGCAGGCAGCATCGTTCATGTGAGTAGAATCACAAGCCAACCATGAAGTACTTGAGGTTAGAAGCACAAGGACCGTGCAGAGCAAAGCTGAGTCTTACTGCAGGATTTTATGAGTTTGGAAGTGCATGCTCAGGTTTTTGGAGTGGTGCCTGTTGTGTGTGCCTGGGAGGTGCCTTTGGACAGGTATGACTGTACCTTGAGCTGTCACAGGTCACCAGGGATGTGAAGTCAGTGTCAGCCAGGCTCTCTGGGAAAAACCTTTTATAAGGTTTGGATACAAATGACTATTTTTTCATCAATTTGCACATACCACTACACTTCTCAAATGCTTCTGTGGCACTTACAGCTAATCTGGTTGTCATGGCTTAGGAATGGGATTCCTCAATTCAGTGTTCCCACTGAAACACTCCAAACTCACTCACTCCCCCTCCCCTGTGGTGGGCTGGAGAGAGAATTGGAGGCAAAAAGGTGAAGATCAGGGGTTGAGATAAGAACAACTTACTGGAAACAGCAATGAGGTATGGAAACAAACAGTAACAGCAACTATATTAATGACAGAGGGTACAAGAATGGTGAATGATTCACACACCAGTGTTCAACACACCAAACTGGCAAAACCCGGACCCCTCACACCCCGCCCAGACTGGGAGGGACCATCCTCCCCACCCCCAGCAGTGACATGAGGTAGTCTAGAATAACCTCAGGGTCCTGGCCATGCCCCTCCTGGCTACTGCAGAAATTAACCCTGTCCTGGCCGGAACAAAGACATTATCCACCCGTTATTCCATACCATCTTTGTCATGTCATTTCCATAGTCAATGGCTGCCCTTCCAAAATACCTGTTGAGTTCATTTAGTCCATGGCTGTGGGTTCTACCCATCCTAGCTGTCTTCCTGGGCAGGAGGGCTGGTGTGCTGTCTGTCAGGTGGTGGCAGGCTGCATGAGGAGCTCACGACTAGTATATCTGGAGGAGTCCATCCTCATTGTCCATGGCAGTTATGGCACACAGTGGCAGTGTGATTCAGCAACCAGTGTTATACAATTCAGCATTACAGACTGTTGTCACCCAAAATCACATCCCCTTGAGGTGCACATCGTGTTTCCCTCTCCCTCTGCATTACCCACCAAGTGCACCCAGGTCCTTGAGCAAAAAACAATCCCATGGACTGGAAGGAACCCCTTCCCCCACTTCCCCCTGGTATGGCCTGAGGTGATGTAGAATAACCTCTGGGTCCTAGCCATGCCCCTCCTGGCTACTGCAAAAATTAAACCTGTCCTGGCCAGAACCAGGACACCGGTCTAGGAAGAGTTTGCCCCATTCAAGGCTGGACCAGAGGTCAAAGAGGAGGCAGTTCTGTTTTGGGTCCTGCAGGTTTGGTGGGTGCAAGAGAGCAGGCAGTGGGGGCCCATCACCTGCTCTCACTTCTGGAAGCACTTGGCAGAGCCACAGACATCTTTGGAGTGGTTACCTGGGCTGTGCCTGGGTCCTTATTTATGTTGTCCCTCTTGTTTCCCATTTCCAGGAGCACCCTGGAGTGTGCTTGGCAGACAGTGGGTTTTACTCTCAGGAAATTCCATGTGAAATAATCCAGTGAATCTTGTTTTCACAAATCATTTTATAACACTTGAAAAAATATGTAAGGAAAGGGGATTTTTGACTTGTGTGCAAAAAACAGCCCTTAGGGTCCACATCAGAGACAAAGAGGGAGAACCAGTTGGCTTAAATTAAATAAAAAAGAATGAAAGCTACTTCTCTGGCTTCACCCCTGCATATTTTTCTTGATTTAGGGCCAGCACTACATTTAGGTTTTAAGGCACTTGTGGCTTTCTAGGTTCCTCTTCTGCTACTAATCAGCTTTATTTTCTGCTGTGTGCCCACTGCTCTTTGGATGCTCTTGTTTAATGGGAGGTAACATAAGGCTTCACAAAGTATTTACTCTGCAAATGCCTCTGAGCACGAGTCCTAGAGCTTGCAGAGCCAAATTTTGAGCAAGATGGACGTGTTTGTTGAGTAATTACCAGTGGAAGATCTTGTGCCATGGTTGCTTGACAGGATCTTGCAGTAGCAGAGAAAAACTTGGATGTGAATTTATAAAAAAAGGATCAAAGCACTCTACTTTGCAGTACCATGAGTAGGTCTTAAGAGCTTTTAGCCCAGACCTAAGAGGTGTATGATGGTGCCACACACTTGAAGGCAAGTGAGTAGCCACTGGCTCATGTTTACAGTGAAAAGTAAGGTGGTCAGACCTGCTTTCACAGCAGTGAATCTCAGTAGAAAAGGAAAAGGAACTGGATTTTAATTCCTTTTGAAACTTTACAAAATCATACCAACAGGACGGTCCTTTTTTGTGGCAGTGGTTGAAGAAGAATGGGGAATGCTTGGGGTGACTGGTACCTTATCCCGAGTCAGCGTGGAGTAGCTGGGCTTGGCCTAGGATGTTCAGTTGTGCACTATTTTAATTTCTGGCTGTGCTGAGCAACTGTTAATAAGGAAGAAGTCCTAGTCTTTCCCCTAAAAAGCCAGCCCGTGGTGGCACTGCTGCTGTCACAGGGAACTTTCTATCCCCAGAGCTGAGGCATTTGTGTAAACTCTTTCTGTGATGATGTGTTTGCAATAATCTGTTGATCTGCTCTAATGATCTACTCTGCTTTCACTGAATTTTCCTAATAAGTGAAATTATATTTGAATAGAACCTAGTACTTATAATTTCCTGGTTTCAGCTGGAAGGATGTTTTAATAGCTGGTCTCAAATCTGCTGAAAAGCAGATTTTGTGGTAGAAGTGCTAACAAAGCTTCAACAGCAACAACTGGCAGCCATACACGGGGAATTCAGGGGTTGTATATTTGGGTGGCAGAGATCAGTAAGTAGGTTTGTGTCATCTGAATCTATTTTTTACAACAAAATTTGCTTTAATATTTTATGCCCTTTTTAAAAAAAAATCCGTCAGTTGAAGTTTCTGCATTTTGAGGGCAGCTCTCAGCTAATCTTCCCGAGCAGTCTGCACAGCTCAGATTCCAGTGGATTTACTCAAAAAGTCACATCCTGTTTAATACCATTAGTGTAAACCCAGAATAATTTAGTTGATGTGGATGGAGGGGCTTTTCATTTCAGGTTTTTGATCTTAATAGGAATCTGGCCAAGAGTAGGTTGCATTTTTGAAGCTAAATCCATGTTCTTGAAGACATCACAGGAAGGCAAACACTGTTTTTTCACTTTTATATGAATCCTTTCTACCTGATGCAGGTCACCTCACACTCCAGCAAGATGCTGGTGAATTCAGCAAGCCCACTTTAAACAAGGGTATGGAAAGAATGTTTGTCATGTTTTCTTTGCCCTTTTTTAATGCATTCATGTTCAAATTTCTAAATTTGATACATTTTCCGCTTCTCAGTATTACCGGAAGCATATATATTCATGTGTTCATATTCAGCAATTTTAAACCACAGTCCTTTTTAAACTCTTTTTTAACCTTCTCATGGCACACTGGTAAAGCTGACACGGGGGTTTTGTGTAGCTGTAGGCTTGCCACAAGTCCAAAAAAACCCAAATCGAAAGCTGCAGTCTCCACTCTATGAAAACCGATATCTGGGTTTCCTTCCCCAGTCCCCACAGAAGTGAATCAAGAATGTTAAATTAAAGACAAACAATCACATTAATCATTTCTTTCTCTGTGTTCCCCTGAATCATATCTTAACAGCATCTTCTAGACCAGAGCCTTTTGTAGGAATGTTAATATTTTATGTGCAGAGAAGTAATAAATAGGGGTTAAATGCAGCTTGAGTGATTAAATCTGAAGGAATGGCACTTGTACCATTCCCACTATGCGGAACACATTTCTAAATCACCCTAATTTAGGTTTATCTTACCAAGTAAAACAATGTTCTGTGCTGCAGCACTTGTATTTCTGTTTGGAGAAATCCTTTTGAAATGATTTTTATCTTTTATATTTGCTCTTTTATTTTGGGTATCTGTAATAAAGAAGTAAATCATTAATTAAAGACAGCATTAGCGAAATTCCACTTGTCTTACCAGTCAGTCAGTTTGACAGGATTATTAAGGCTGGATATATTGGTTGTAATAACTTGTGAGTGAATGGCTCACCCCTCTCCTACTCCCCTCCCCTTCCTCAAGAACTTGGGTGAGTGATACGCTTCTAGAAGTAGCACAAATTTTCTTCAGGATTAATAGAACAAAATAAATATTGACTTTTCCCCCCCTCTCTTCCCCCAGGTTGCCCTTGTTCTCCTTTTCCAATCAAATGTCACATTGACTCCAGTGCGGTGTTGGAAGCATGCGGGGAACTGCAGCACGTCAGCTCGGCACAATGTCTCCATCAGGCTGGAAGGAAGCCCAAAACCAAAAGTCCACTGGCCAAAATGCATCCTCTGCAGAAACCCCAAGGCAAGTGGCTTTGGCCTTCTAGAGATTGTACAAGCTCCTGTGGCATGGAAAGTGTAATATTTTAAAATTATTGTTTTAATTTGAGTCCCGGTGAAATAGTTACTTTTATGTTCTAATGTATAGCTTGATAGGGTTTTATTATGTTCATTTTTCCCAATGTTAGATAACCACTTAGGGAGGCCTTCAAGAAGAAATTGATTCAGCAATAACCAATTACTTAACTTGTCATTTTATATTTCATGTACTGTTGTTATGCAGCTGTGAAGTGCAAGTTGAATTTAGCAATATGGTTTACATTTTAAATAAATTTTTTTGAAAAGTGTTTTAGGTAATAATAGCTAATTGTCTAAAGCTGGTCTGTTTTCCATTTATTGCATGGCAACAGGAAATGCCTAAATGAAACGAATGTATTTTAAAAATGATAAATAGAAGCTAAACCAATCACATGTTGGCTGTGGTACTTCCACAGACCTGCCAGCTCAGAGTCAAATAGGTGGCAATCCCAAAGTATGGTGGAAGAAGAGCCAGGAAGAAGCATGATCCAGCTGGTCTCCAGCTGCTCTTCTAGTCTCCTCAGGCTTCTGGGGGGAAAAAAAAAAAAGAAGACTTCAGTGCATTTCTTGAAAGAGGATAAATTGTTTCCATGTTTCTCCATTAGTGAAATGACATGGGGTCTGTCTTTATGATGTCAGTTTGCCAAGTGTCCTGCTATCACGCTTCCTGCTTTGTAGAATTAATTACTCTTATGTATGTAATGGGTGCTTGCCTCAAGGGAATTGGGGATGCAAATACCATAGGGGTGTTAGGAACAAAGGAAGGTGAACCTCAAGAAGATACTAAGTTCATAAACCAGAATTTTTTTGAGGTATGTATCCATGTGATAGATGGTCATTGTCATGTGGAAAAAATGACATGTTGGTGTTGCACACACTGAGTTGCTGCACCATCACCCCCTCCCAATTCAAATGTCTATACAAAAGCAGTTCAGCCTTGAACAACAACAAAGAAAGCACTGTATTTTCTGCTTCTGGAAGTAGACCCTAAATGCTTTAAACATCTCCCAAGGTCTGTGTCTTTATGAAGCTTTCGCCCAGAGATCTTGGTTGTTCAGGTTTAATTAGTGGATGTTCCATGAATGTTGTTAATACTGACAATAAAAAGGCATAAGTGTCTGTTCAGTATGAACTAGAATGAAGTCAGCTGCTGTAGATGCTTTGCTGTTGTACTCGTGGCACTGATTTCCAGTCACTGAGGAAGTAACGTGTTTTTTATATGTGAGAATTTCAGAAAATTTGGAGGGAGCCTACTTGGCTTGATTCAATTTATGCTTAAAACTTACCTAAGTAGATGAATATGATTTATTTCCATCACCAAGACAGGTACCACTGCTTCTTTCTGCTGCTCACACACCCCCAAGCTCTCTCTGCCATTGCAGCCTTAAGCTCAGAACAGAAGTCAGTGTATCTACTGTCTCATAAGGATGGAAAAGGATGGAAATTGTTAAAGAGGTGAAATAAACACCCAAAAGTAAAATGCTTTCTTGACTGGTTACTCTTGCTGTTACTTTTTTTGACAGAACTCATTTTTCTGGGCTTCTTGATGTCACTGTAAAAATAGTCCAGGGAAGGAGTCCCTGTGAAAATTCCCGTGAGACTGTTGTGTAGCATCCAACACTTAAAAACCAGGATGAGCCAGCTTAGCCTAAGCTACAAATCCAGGTGACAAGTCTCGATTATGGATGTGCCAGCCATCCTCCTGAAAAACACTTCTTTACCTTGAATTTTAAATAATGATTTTGTTATTTCTTATTATTTTATATATTTTATTATTATTCCTTGATAATAAAACTACTTTTAAAAAGTATCTTCAATTAGCTTATGTGTGACAGGAGAGAACAATACATAGGATATGTTGCAAGGGAAGATAGTACAATTTTTTTTGTCTTCACTTTTATTTGCTTTGTAAATTTGAAATGGCTTTTCTCCCTTATCATTGATCTTTTGTTACTCTGTGGATTTTATACACAGAAAAGAAAGGAGAATACTAACTATACAATACTTCATATATAAGTAATAGTTCAATACTTCCTCTCCAGGAAAATGAAAACATCAAAATTTATTGAAAAAACCCCAAAAGTTTTTATTGAAATTACTCTCTTGAAGTTGACATTTTTAATGTATAACAACCTTTCTTTTTCTTGGTGACCATATCCATAGAAAGCAGTTGTGACAGTGTGGTGCAGACAATAAATCTTTCTTTAGTTTTCTGTAGGTATTTTTATGCAAGATCCTTTCTTCCCATGGCTTTCTCCCTGCAGCCACGTGGCTGACTCACTAAGGCCTGTTTCTCGTTGATTTGTCGGGTGTGATGTGCTGGCATCACCACCTGAGCCTCCAGAAGCAGCTCTCTACCTCCACCCAAACCTGTGCTTTTGGGCCATTTATTCTTCCTTTGAGTGTATTTGCTCCCCAGGGGTTAACCCTCCATAATCTCCTTCAGCATCTATATATTTTTAGATCTCTTCTTGTCCAGACCTTAACTAAAGTAAGTAAATCTTCCAGTGTGACTCACACCACTAGATTTTTTCTTTATTAGGTCCTCCCAGCTTTCTCAGCAAGTCAGGACAGCCCCCCAGGCAGCCCCCAGGCTGGGATGGTGGCTGGGAATGTCTCCATCCAGTCACTAATAAATGCGTGTTGAGTGTTTGCTTTACTGTAGAGAAGGTGCTTGTGAGAGAGGAGCTCATGGCCAGGGGAGATGAAATCATGCGAAGGCTGAGATGCTCATTTTTCAGGGAGGGAAGGGCCCCATATTCCCAGCTGGTTTACAGACCCAGGGCCAGGCCTGAGCTATATCTTCTCCCACTTATTTAAACCTTGCCTTTGAGTTTTCTGATTCTGTCCTGCTGCTTCTTGTTATTTCACTTGTTCCTTCTGCAACCAAGATTTTGTGTTTTGGGTTCTGCCTCCTCCGAAGATCCGGGTTGCTGTTCAGGAGAAGGAGGAGTGGGGAAATAGCATTCCAGCATGTGGCTTCAGCCTTCAGGGAGCACCTGAAAATGCTTTGTAATGCTGGTATCTCTTCCATGCAGCAAACTTCTAGCTGTAATTAGAATCAGAGACTCACAGAATGGTTTGGATGGAAAAGGGCCTTAGAGCTCATCTCGTTCCCCTGCCATGAGCAGGGACACCTTCCACTAGCTCAGGTTGCTCCAAGCATTGTTCAACCTGGTCTTGAACATTTCCAGGGATAGGGAAATCACAGCTTCTCTGGGCAACCTTTGCCAGAGCCTCACCACCCTCACAACCAAGAATTAATTCCTAGTATCCCATCTAACCCTGTTCTCTGGCAGTGGGAAGCCATTGCCCCTTGTCCTTTCACTCTGTGCCCTTGATCCTTCTCCAGCTCTCTTGGAGCCCATTTAGACACTGGAAGGAGTTCTAAGGTCTCCCCAGAGCCTTCTCTTCTCCAGGTGAACACCCCCAGCTCTTCCCAGCCTGTCTCCAGAGCAGAGGGGCTCCAGCTCTTGGAGCATCTTCACGGCTTCCCTTGGACTTGTTGCAACAGGTCAGTGTCTTCTTTGTGTTGGGGACCCCAGAGCTGGAGGCAGCTCTGCTGGTGGGGTCTCACCAGAATGGAGCAGAGGGGGAGATTCCCCCTGCCCCTCACCTGCTGCCCACGCTGTGGGATGAGCCAGGACACAGGGCTTTCTGAGTGCCAGCACACATGGCCTGGGCATGTCGAGCATCTTGACAACCAACACCCCATTGCTTCTCCCCAGGGCTGGTCTCAAAATGTTCTCCACTCAGTGTGTATTTGGGATTGCCCCAACCACGGTGCACTTGGTCTTGAACCACGTCTGCTTTGGTTGAAACTTGCCTTGGTAAGTAGTCCTTGGTAGGGTCAGTGGCTTTGCCTCCATCCTTATGTCTCCATTTCTCAACATCACTTCAGGAGGTAAAAATTCAGAATTAACAAAAACGTTTTCCTCCTTCCTTTTGGCTCAATGCAGAGTGTGTTGTCTCAGGTGATTCAGGTGGATCCACTAACAGGAAAGGCATCAAGTGTTTACATGGACAGCAGTGACACCCAGTGTAAAGGCTTTGATATTAGTGCAGAACCTTTGGGTGCTGTGAACCAGGGCCAACTCTGAAGGACCTGATGCAGTATGTGGGGGAGGTTCTGACCTGTCTGCTACACTGTGCACCTTCTGCAAGGAGCCCAGAGCTTTTCTTTTCTGGCTTCATGGGCATGGATACTTGGTTTTGGGTTGTTTTTTGTTTTTACAAGGAGAAACATGGTCAGACACTCACTGGTCACGTGGTATGCACACGAAAACCTGGTGAGCAAAACCTGGAGCTCTGCCATCCTGTTTATATGCAAGAGGATTTTCTTTTCCTTCTTCCCTGTTATTCCTGTGTAAGATAGGGTTTGTGGAGGTCTCTTCAGAATTGGACTATAACATCTTTATTTGAAGATAGGAATTTTAGATATTTTTGGAGACTGATCAAATCAATCCTCTTATAGGAAGTGTCCCCTTAAAGCTCAGATTCTTCGATTTCATTTTTTTCTTTCATGCTGAAATAAACTCAGTAACGTAGGGAGTTTATGATCTGACCTATACTCAGAGCTCTAAAATGCTTTAACATCCCTTCATCACTGACCTCAGATGACTGTTTATGGACTGCTATGGCAGCTCCCCATCCACTGGAGCAGGGTGGCCATCTGGGCTGATGTGGAGCTTAGAACAGATGCAGAGCCTTCTGGAAGGTAGGGACAAGAATTCGCTTTTCAGGTGCATACGCCTCCATTTAGTCTCCTAAAGCAAGTAACCTTGAAATTACATTCAAAACAGTTGCTGACTCAAACTCCATTACAGTGCTGATCACATGTGCCACATGGACCATTTAAAGTTGGAAATGCCTGGAAGAAATTGTTCTCAAAAATGTTATTTAATAAAACACATAGGTAGAGTTTCCTCATTTAACGTATCAGCTCTGGATACTCTAGACTGGAGGAGACACTTGGTGGTGCTGCTCCAAGCAGTGTGTGCTTTGGGAGCAATCCCACAGTCAGTTTTCCTACCTTGGAGTGTCAGCTCTGCCTATGGGAGTTGCTTTCCCTATATGAAACTGTGACAGCATGGGAACTTGTCGCCATGGGTTACTGCTTGTGTATGATAAACCATTTACTCTGCAATCAATGGAAGGTCTGGATAAATTTTTTTAAATGACATTACATTTTAATGCCATTTTTTTGAAATGTTGTGTTAAACTTTGTACCTTGGCTTCCCTGTGAGTCCTGAGGCAGAATGTGCGTGTTCTTACAGTGCGTGTTTTATTTATATCATACGCAACTCAATGTAGAATCAAAAGAGGAAGGAAATTTGTGAAGACTCTACACCACAGAAGAGAGGGGGAAGGCAGAAGGGGAGGAAGAAAAGCCATTATGTTCTGCCTGTGCAGTTTTTGACCAAGCAAACACGAGGCACTGAAATCCACGGTGGGATTGGGTTTTGGTTGTTTGGTTTGAGTTGTCATTTTCCCCCAAGCCCCCATTTTCTTTCACAATATAAGAGATTGAGCAGAGTGCCTGAGTTTTGAGAAGTCATGGGAGGGGAAGCTCATTGGTGTGATTGAGATGGTGAGCAGACTTGCGAACACGAAACGTAAAGCCGTGCATCCTGTTTGGTAACGAGGAAGCGCTGCAGCTCTGCGAGCGCCTTGGTTTGTTCGCACGGCTGATCCAGCTGTAGAAACACAAGGTAGAAGCCCATCAGCTTTATTTAGCAGCTTGCTTTGGTATAAGCAATACTTCAGGGCTGCACCCTTGCAGTTTATGGAGAATGATGGAAGAATGCATTCCCCTCGGTCTGGATTTTGTTCCCAGTTTAGGATAAAGAAGACGGAGATTTATCCTCCTGTTTTTTCCCTTCTCTTTTATTAGTACCTCCTAAGCCTGTCCATCTCAAACCTGGGCAGGAAAGAATTCCTCCTGCACCGTCTCGGCCTTTGCCAGCTGATCCCAAGTCGTCAAAGAGCTTAGCACCTGGAGAGGACGAAATACCAATATCAGCAGGAGTCAACACGCTCATTGAGAAATTTGAAAGCATTAGGTAAATATGGCTTTGCGAGATCTGCTCTCATCTCCCTTTTCTGCATTTTTAACTTAGAATATAACAGTAGAAAACATTAACTGTAATGATCACACAGAAAGTCCTCTTGGGATGTTTTCTACTGGAAGTGCAAAACTTCACTGAGGATGGAGTGTCTTTTTAATAAAAGCTGTATTTCAGCGAGTTTTAGTTTGTAATGTTACAGTTGTGCTTAAGGAGCTTGAGACCTGCTGAATTTGGGAAGGTTGTACCAGAGACAAGTGGCCCAGAGTCTGCTTTCAGTAAGTTGGCTTGATGTGGGGATTGTATCATAGGGACTTGATTATTGTAATATAAAATAATCTAATTTTCTATCTGAGATTCAATATACATCAGATCTTGCTTCTTGGAGGCTGAATTGCAGTGTACTGTGAAACAATGTCATATAGAACAGTATTTCCTCTGAAACACTGTATATGAGTGACACTAAATTGGATAAAATATACATATTTTGCTGTAAAACCAGCTCAGTTTACAAACATATGAAAACTTTCTTTTAAGACCAAACCTGCCTGATGGAGCTAAGTAATTTTATTTTTCTTTTTCATAAAGAGAGAGATGGAAACAGGGGCACCACACGCCTTGGAGCGTGTTATGACGTGAGTGAACCTGGTGTCTTTCAAAGAGAAAAAGTAGTGCCTTCTCGAGCCTCAGTACATCCTCTCTGGCAGAAAATACCTTGCCCCAAAGATTTAGTTCTGCTAAAGAATGAGAGTTCCTGTTTTAACGAGCCCACAACCAAATGCTTCTTTTAAAGGATGATTCCTCCCTCCCCAAACCCTCAAATCAGGCTGTTCTTCAAGGCTACATGGAGAGCACTAAAGGCCCGAGATTCTGGTGGAGCCATTTCAGTAGAACTTAAGGCTGGGGTGGTGTGTTGTTGTTGGATGTTGTTGAGTGATGGTTATTATTGCCATGTGCACACACTTGCCCTGCTGGGATTGTCACTGGGATGCAAGAAATACAGCTTGAATCAAAGCACAGTCAGACCCTCTCTTTTAGGGCACTCATGAAACCTCTGAGTGTTAACATGAATGACTGTGATGCTTTCTCTTCACCCACAGGCAACCTGTACATATTCTTCAGAGAAACCAGCTAAATTTAGCTCTTAAGATGGAACCTGGCCTGGACTCATCCAAGCAGACGAGCTCGTGTGACTGTGACACAGTGGCTTCCAGCGGCTCTTCCGCGACTGACAAAGCTGAAGCGGATGAGGCTGAGCCCGACGTACCGTGCAGCACAGATCTAACAAACACAGACATAATGAAAATTAAAGAGCTAAGCCTGGGTGATAACAAAAGCCATGAAGACTGTAGTGCTGTGAGTGGGAGCAAAGAGCCCTCTGGAGAGCTTGGCAATAAAGACTCAACTGCAGAACTGAATGGGAACAGTAAAATTCCCAACAGAGACAGTGGCATTGACAGCCCTTCTTGTAGCGTGGCTGGAGAAACATTCCCCAGCGAAGAAGGGGCAGAGCAGAAGAAGCCCAGCATGGCTGGGCACCCAGGGGAGATGGAACCTGACAAAAAGGGCACCAAACCTTCCTCTGCAGAGCAGAAGAGAGACTCCACACAGGATGAGGACAGTGACATTGATGAAGGAAGCAGCGAGGAGCAAGAGACAGCAGAAGTGCCAAAGTTAGAGTATTTGGATGTAAACAAGGTAAGGGAGTTTGTTCATTGCTAGTAAGTGCTCTGAAACCTGACTGTGGTGAGAGATCCCTTGGATCACTTTCGTCCATGATTTGGGTTATTTGTTTGGTTGGTTTTACATCAAAGGATCGTGACAGTATTATTTCCTGCTTCATGCAGATCCTAGCTTGTTGCTGACTTAGATAGTATCTTCTAGAAAGGTTCCCAGTCTTGCTTTAAAAGGTTTCATTTAAGAGAATCCCTCACAGCCAGAGGTAAACTGTTAAAATTTAAATACTTCTGTAGGTCAGGACTCACACCTTGTGTTTGTTGTCTGGGTTTGTCTAGGTTCAGCTTGTTAGAGCCTGTTGTTTTCAGTGGGGTTTTGTGATGTTTGGGGGGCTGATTGGATCATCCATCTTGCAGGGTCGGGACCTTGCATCTGAGTAGGACAGGCATGATTGAAATCTCGTCTCACACAGAATTTATAATATTTTTTTATGCAACCCTGTGCTTTTATTGGTGTGACTACTTCTTCAGGGCGAAGAAGTTGTTTTGATGGTAGTTACCTCAAATGACTCTTCAGGAAACTGTAGCTAGAAGAGATTTTCTTTGATTCCAGAATAATGTAGTCCAGGCTGTTGGGTATTTACTGCAGCTGTATAAGATTAATGACAGATTCCTTTGATTATCTTTTTATCAAGACAGTTATTTTTAGAAATAGTGCTGATAGAATGGATTCAGTTTCTCCAGAAAAAGAAAACAGAATCGTGCAAAATCTCTGCGAGATGTTCACTTTTTGTGGTGAGGTTCTTTGTTTGTATTTGGAGATGTTTGGGTTTGGGGTTTTTTTTGTCCCTCAACCATCATGACGCTGAAGTTAATATACTGGATTTTTGGTGTTTTAAAGAATACGATGAGCACCTGCAAGTAATGAAGTATAGCTGATGAAGTGTAATGTCCACACCTCAGCTTGTGCAGATCAGGTGGCTCTGTTGAAATCACCAAATATATCAGGATTTGTGTCTGTTGAGAGCTTGTCCCTTGGGAAATGTGGCCGTTTCTGGGTCAGATCAGCCAGTGACTGTAGAAGTGTGATGAAAATGGCACGTGGGTCCGTGGTGTGCAAGAAGTTCTGTCTCTCAGAACTCAACAAGGGTGTGTTTATACACACACACACACACAGAGTGACATACTTTAATTGTTTTATGTTCATAATCTGTGCAACTGAAATATTATTTAAAAGATTGGTTATTAGTTGCAACAGGCCAGTTCCTGAGTTGGAAGGAACCCATAAGGATCATCAGAGTCCAACTCCTGGAATATAAAATGCATTAAATTAAAAGATCTTTAATCTGGTAATTAAATTTACTGTTTGCAATGCTGTGTCAAACCAACTGTGGCAACCCCAAGCTGAACACTTTACTGAATGATTAAGAAGTGCTTTGCCGACAAATCCCAACGTTTTGTAAGACATCAAAGCTTTGATGGCTGTTTTTAAGTCTTGTTCCTTCGGTTAAGTGTCCCTATAGTATGAAATAATGCTGATAAAACATAGAGTTCTGAAGTTGTAATTCTCTGGAGCAAACCTGGTGAGTTTATGAGAGAGGTATCTATAGAGGAAGACTGGTTTGTTTTGGTGTTTTGTATTGCTCTTCTTCCTGAGGTGCATTTATGTGATGCACTGCAGGTTCTCCCTTGCATTTTGAGTTGATTTCCCCTTCCAAAAGGCAGTTTAGAGGCTGAGCAAGCTACACCAAGTCACCTTGTTTTTGCAGCCACGTGGAGGGGGAAGGCTGAGAGAGGCGCTGCCTCCTTCAGTGTAAGGATTGTGCCCTCTTCTGGGGATGCAGCGTGTGGAGCCAATTCCTGGGTTAAGTGTGAAATGAATTCCCGTGTAAAGTGTCTGCATAAAATCACAGCATCATTAAGGTTGGAAGAGACTTCCAAGATCATTGAGTCCAACCATTACCCTGACATTGCCAGGCCCACCACTGAACCCTGTCCCTAAGCACCACATCTACGTGTTTTTTGAACACTTGCAGGGATGGTGACTCCACCATTTCACTGGGCAGCCTGTGCCAGTGCCTGACCATCCTTTCAGTGAAGAAATTTTTTTCTAATGTCCAATCCAAACCTCCCCTGGCACAGCTTGAGGTCGTTTCCTGCTCTCCTCTTCGATTCTGTTGCAGATTTGGGGCACTAAGGATTCAGGATTGGGGTGAGGGGCCATAGCTTCCAGCGAGGAGAGCTGGTGTGATTGCAAGTTGTCTTGTTCCATGGTTATCCTTAGGCTGGAGTTTCACATCACCCTTGACAAACCTGATGATTTCCCAGAAAACCTGCCGTGCTTGAAGGAGGAGAGGAGAGTTCAGTTGGCAGCAGCTGCTGGCTTGAGAGCTGGGGAGACCTCAGCTCCTCCAGAAAGCTTTATGTTGGGAGCCAGTGTCTTTTTTCTGCATATCCCCTCCTGCTCCTGGTACCAGGGTTTGCAGCTGGAGGTAACCAGCACTTCCATTAAATATGCAAGTTGCTAAAGTTGGAGGAGGATGCATAAGAAGTACAGCTGCAGAGTGATTTAATGATGGCTCAGTAACTCCTAGGATATCAGGGTAAGTGAAGCTCATGAATAAACATCATTTTCTACTTCAGATATCTCCCCATCCTCCACCTGAGCTTTCTCACAGCCCAGGGCTGAGGAAGTAACCTTGCCTGATACATGGCTGATACTGTTTTATTTAGTCGGTTTAGCTCTGCAGTGTGATGTGGCTTCCTTTGGGAGTCTGCACCAGTCTTACATGGCTCACTATTAGTGCAAAATTACTGGAATGTGTTTTAAAATCTCAGGAGGGACTTACAGGGATTTCCAGTTATCTTTTATCAAAATGAAAATGAACAAGGGGAGCTTATTAGTTTTGATAATGTCTCTGAAAATGTCAGGAGCTCCAGGAGCTGATGCACATTAACCTTGATGATTACAAAGAAAAGAAGTGACATGAAAGTGAGACTGAGGGCCTGTCATGCTCCAAAGTCATATACCCAAGGCTTCTCCTGACTGCCTGGGAGCACTGAGTAATGCTTCTGGGAGGGGTAACAGTGCTTCGGAGCTTTTTATTCAGGTATTTTTCACTAAAAGTAACACGTGCTCTTTCATAATCACCAAAAAATGGCTGTCTCCATCTGTCCTGCTTCCTGCTGTGTAAATAGTAACAATGGAGTCCCATGTGGGCCTCATGCATTCACTGACACAAGCTTCCATTCTGCCTGTACGTGGCTGGAGTTTCACTTCTGATTTCATTGTCTGGTGTGTGTTGTAATATTTGGCCTGCAGTGCTGCAAGTCAGACTTTTGGATGAGATTATCTCCGTGTATATTCTGAAAAAAATGTGTATAGGTCAATGTTTTAGTCATAATGCTGGTTGAGAAAATTCAGATATATTATCATCATCATCCTTTTTTTTAAGTATCTTAAGGAAGATGAGATCTCAGTGCAACAAAGACAACCAAGCATAGGATAACTTTTCCTTATTGTTTTCAGCATTTTTGGGTAGGAGGGAATCTATAAACTTTCTGGGACTTTGTGTTCTTTGTAGGGCTGACTGGTGGGGTTTTAAAGCATAACCATGTATGATTTTAACCCAGGCACTATCCCAGCAAGATTTGCTGAGGGCCCCTTGTGAGAAAAACGCCGACTGAATATGGTTACACACACCAGTTGTATGAAAAATGGTTGCTGCAGGACATTGCCCAAGTTTTCTCATGTTAAACTTTGTACGTACTTTAAATTTTGCCAATTTGCTCTTTGTAACAGCCAGGCCAGGGTAACAGCCAGGGATCCTTTGCCTCTGTGGATCCCTGGCCCAGCCACACCCGTGGGCACTCAGCTGGGTGGGCGAGGGGGTTTGCAGGAAGCAGTGATGCACTCATGTCCACTTAACTGCACAAATCAGACCAGTTCATCTGCCAGTCTGTGCCTGTGACTGGGGTGTTTGAGGTGCAGATGCAGCCCCAGGTGTGCATCTGACATTCATGAGAATCTGGTTCTGTTTGTCGTCGGGCTGGTGTTTTCTTTTACTTTAAAATGTTTTGTTGGACAGTTACAGCTGGAAATGAATTTTTGAATCTTCCACAAGAAGTGAAAGAGCATCATGCTGCTTCAGGCACTGGAGTGAGCTTCCTGTGGTGTGGAGTCAGCACCTCCCTCCTCCTTTTAATGACCTTTCTTGACACCCCTGCAGCCAGTCTGTTCCATCCAGCCTCTTCAGTAGGTGTAGGGTTCTGGCCCAAGCGTGCTGTGGCTGTGCCACAAGAGCACTGGGCAGAGCACAGTACAGTCCACATCTGGGTTTGCAAATTTGTTTTACTTCTCCTTGAGAAACAATGGACCATGAAATATCTTGTTCCTAGTGAACTGAATGATGGCTCAGGCTTTATTAAAGCTATCCTGCCATGGCACAAGATGAGGTTAGAAGAATGGGACTGCCTCACATTTCATTAATCTACAGTTTCATTTAAAATGTTATGTCCATTGAAAGGCAAATATGTTGCAAATCAGTCTGAAAAATGTGCCTATCTGCCTCTAGCAGAGATAGCAACTGAAGATAGAGTCACACTGTAAAACTGAGCTCAAGCTGAGGGTCTGTTCAGCCCTTGTTTGGTATTTAAGCAGATGTCAGCAAGTTTTTTTGAAATATAAACTGAATTGCAGATGGTGAAGGTCAGGGGGTTAGAAAGCGCCTGTGCTATGTAAAGATTTACTTCTGAGTACAAACTTATTTTGTTGGAAATAAACATTTTTCGAGTTCTGAACTCAAACAACACGAAGGATGCTCTTGGTGGCTGGCGTGCCACCTTTCATTTGCGTGCTCCTCTGTGCCCAGCTAAACTGGCAGGAAAATTCTTTCCCAGTGGGAGATCCTCATAGTTACTGGGTTTGACTGGCCAGCAGTGCACTTCTGTGTAAGCTGCAATAAGATGTACTTGCTTGTAACAAGTTCAGAACTTCATTGTGCTGTGATTTTTTTCTTTTCCCCTAAATATTAATACATATCACGTGAACGAACAGAGCAGGATGTTGTGTACCATGTTAAAATAGCTTAAAAGGGTATTTGAGTTGACTTGAAATATTTCAGTAGCGTGGCAGACAGAGTCCATGTGGAAACTTCACTCATGGCATGGTTGCCTATCTCCAGATTCATGCTTAGAAGGAGAGGAATTGCTTCAGAAGAAGCCTGATGCTGCTTCAAATGCAGAAAAGCTATTCACTTTCCTTCAAATACTACTTATATTGTGGAGCTGTGGGTGCTTCATGCCACGTGGTACCTCACTCCCCGTAGGGTAACTGTGGGTCTGGTTTGTTTGAGTTCATGGCTTGCTTTGGAAAGCCTTTGAGGTCTTTTGCTTGTACTGCAGTTTGCCCAAATGTGTGTTTGGGGTGGGTATTTAAAATTTTCTTGTCAGCTTTGTTTGGAAACAAAATACGGTGATGTTGAAGAAGCTTAAAGAGAGTATTTATTTAATATTTTCTAACGATCTGATGGTGATATGTCTAGAAATCCCTGCCCCAAATGCAAGCACCAGAGACAGGCATTTGGGATGGAGCACTGCTGCTGGTGAGGGGCCCAGGTGCCTCCTGAACAGGAAACAGCCCCGTGTGTTTAATAGACTTCAGCTGGATTTTTCTGCCATGGATTTGTCCGTTCCTTTTGTGAACCTGTGTGAAGGTGACCCCCGGCAGCGTTGTGTTGCTTGGGGAAGCAACTCCTGAAGCAGCACCTGAGTGATTTTATTTGATGCTCTTTAGTTTTCCCGTGGAAACAGTGATTAATTGCATCCAGTCAATGCTCTCTGTTCCCTGAATCATTTATACACCTCTTGCCTTCATCTCAGTTGTCTTTTTTTTTTTCCCGGATCCAGCCCAGTACAATTTCCCTACATTTGATCGTCCTTGCTGCCTGTTTTCCATGTTTGCATTCCTGAACACAAACCAGCCAACCCTCCATTCTGGACTGGTTTGGTTGTATGTAAGCATGGCATTTAAACCCTTAAAAAGAGTTTTGGACAGCTAACCCCTGCATTCTAATAATTCGAGTATTTTTAAGCACTTAGAGAGCAAAGGGTCTGTGTAGCTTTTGGCTAAAGTCAGTGCTTTATAACTGTATTTAGGGTTTTTAAGTAGTCCTTTCTCATTTTATATTTTTAAATGAGCTTAATGAAAGACTTCACTGAGCGATTTGGGTTACATTGCTGAAAATTCTTTCCAGGGAATTGGCCTGTGTTTAAAGCTGCACAAAAATCTTAGAAATATGCCATAGAGAGTAATGCTGTGCTGGCCAGAGGAGAAATCTGGCCAAACAGTCTGGTTTCTAGTTGTTTTCTTTTCAGCTAAAGGACCTGAGTCCAAAAAGGAGAACAGTTGATTTACAGTCCAGTGCCTTATTTTCCAAATAGGCTAGACTTATTTCCAGGTTTTTAGAGGATGTTTCTGGTTCTTTTTATAAAACCATAATGAACTCAAGTGATGTCCTGACCAGCCACTGACTGCATTACTAATTGCTCTTTCAGAAAATAGCTTTAAAAATGTCTCTGGAGCAAAGTGATCCTTTGATGAGGGACACAGAGCAGATTCTGAAATGTGTTAACCTCCTTCACTCCAGGCCCCTCTGCTGGCAAGGATTTTGGCCACTGACAAAATGGAAAAGAGAACAGTTGATGAAACTTAGGGGTGTAGGTGCAGATGGATTGTAACTTGTAACTTGATTGTAATTTGTGATTTGTTTTTCAGTGTACAGAGCCCCAAAAGCTGTTCAACATTGCCAGTGAGCTGCTCCACACAGAAGAAGCGTATGTTAAAAGACTCCATCTCTTGGACCAGGTAATTCCCTTTTGAATTAACTCTCCTTTCTTTTCAGTGAGCAGCAGTGATGTCTTCTGTCAAGCCAGAGGATTAGGATGGCAGAAAGGGGAACGGGAAAGCAGCAGCAGTTTAAGATACAGACACCATCAGCATTTGGTTCCTCCCTGGGCTTATGGGAAGATGAAATCACAGGGACACTGGAGACACTGAGAAATGATGAAATCTGTGATTGCTCTTTGATGTGCAAGAGGTTGGAGTCTTACTAAAATCAGACCACAGGGGTCAGCCCCATGCTTAGAGTGAACTGTGTTTTTACTGCTGTGTTTTGTAATTGTTGTCCATCATGCTTACACGTGGGGATGAAGTAAAACTGGTGTGACGAGTCTGAAGCTTCTTCCCAATAAATACTGAGTTGACTACATAGCTCAGGTATTTCTATAATTATCTCAAAGAAAAAGAAAAACATGAATGTGCAGGAATGAAATAAAAATGAGGATGAGACACATTACTAACAAAGGGCTTTTTAAAAAGGAATGGGGAAAAAAGAGGAAAAATAAAGTTGTCACCTGGCTAGAAATGCTGGTAGAAGCTGTAACTTCAAGAGCCCTCTACCCTCTGACTCTAGGAGCTCTAGGGAAGACTTACAGTGTTTGTTTTACATGAGCAGAGACTGTTTCTAGACTGTAGAAATCTGGGGGGTGTCTTTCCCTTTAGTTCAGTATAGTGTAGTCTTTCCTGCTGAGAAACAAAACAATCACGTGGTTTATTTTGATTTATGTGAATAGCAGCAAATGCTCTTCAGGGACTGCATGTTCTTTGCTGCTTGCACTCCCAAATAGGAGGTGTCTGATCATATCAGTTGTTTCAGTCCTTTTTGAATTGCAGCTCATATTTTCCTAATTTTAGTGATAAATCTAACTCTGAGTGACAGTGGGCTTATGTTTTGTGAACCTCCTGAAAGACCCCAAGGACTGACTGCCACAAGTCAAAATCCGTAGCTGTGTTCTAAGCAGTCAGTTTTGCAAAATGACAGTCCAAAGTCAGCGTGTCTGGGGTTGTTTTTTGTAAATAAATGTTGGTGCTGTCTTGTCTTCTGCAGGTTTTTTGCACTAAGTTGTCTGAAGCAGGGATTTCATCCGAAGTGATAACGGGCATCTTCTCAAACATTTCTTCCATCTATTGTTTCCATGGACAATTTCTTCTCCCTGAGCTCAAAACAAGAATTACACAAGAATGGTGGGTAACTGTCACTACAGTTACTTTAAGAATACATTTTCAAGAAACCATAGCAACCATAAGGCCTAGTCTAAGTCCAAATTTTTAATGGTTTAATGCAGTAGTTAATACATTAGTTATTTAATGTATTAGTATGGAGTCTCTCAAGCATTTTTGACTTCAGGAATAGGTCTGAGCACTCAAAATTTCCAGAATACGCTCTTTCAGTCCAAAGTATTGCCAGAGCTGTTTTCCTTACTGCATTCCCAACTCTCTTATTACTGCAATATTATGAAATTGCAGTACTTGAAAGGAATGACATTGCTTGTTTTGGCCTCGTAGATGAAATAAATGTTTTCAAATACCAATTAATATTTGGCTACTGTAATAAGTTGAAGGTTGGACTTGATGATCTTGAAGGTCTTTTCCAACCTTAATAATTCTGTGATTCTGTAAGTTGTAGTTAAGGCAGAAGTGCAGTGATGGGTAGAAAGTTAATTGTAAATCAGATCTAGGAAACTTGAGATGACACACTGGTGGCAGGTGCAGATAGTGCTGACCTTTCCAGGTGCCCTACATGACCAAGACAAAACCAGAGCTTGCATCTCTCTTGGCTGAGTCCAGTCTTCACACAGTTCATCACTGACCAGAAGGAATAAATGAGTCTCAGCACCTTTGTGCTTGAGCTTGCAGGGGCAGCTGTAATAAAGGGCAGGAAAACTGGAGAGTCTGGGAGTCAGAAGAGGGTAGAACCTTGTTCACTGGCTAAGGAGAGTCTCGTGTGGTCAGACTGGGGGAAGAATGGCTGGCTCTCTGTCTGGCCATGAGTTTGGAGGAGAGAGAGATGTGTGGCTACTGCTGCTCCAGCCTGGAATGATGGGGGTGGGCATCTCCAGGCAAATATGTGCCCGGCCCCCAGGGATTACTCAGCTGAACTGAACCATCTCTTTGCATTAAAACCTATTCAGATGTTTGGCTGTGGTGGAAAAGATTATTTTTAAAATGTAAAAGTTTCCCACAAGATTTTGTGCTGGGCATAAGAGATATACAGATGTTCCTTTAACAATGCATAGTCAGTTTGAATCTGCCCTTCACTTAAGAGAGTGACAGTGGGGGCAGAAATACCATCCCTTGCACATCAGGATTAATATTTGAGGTTTCATCTGGGGTACTGTATAAATTACTTTAAACTAAACTTAGCCTGTCTTGATTGCACATGTGTTTAAGTGCTTGTGCATGTGGGAGACAGCTGTGGAAGTCTTACAGCTGTGTTTTCTCTCTGAAGACACTTTTGATTTCCAGAGATTTCCGTACTTACCTGTCTCTTTCTCACAGGAGTGTCAACCCACGGCTGGGAGATATCCTACAGAAACTTGCTCCTTTTCTGAAGATGTATGGAGAATATGTGAAGAACTTTGACAGGGCGATGGACATAGTGAACACATGTATGCAGAGGTCCTCTCCCTTCAAAGACGTTGTTCAGAACATACAGGTATGTTGTTAATTGGCATAATAAGGCTGGGAGATTGTTGGGGAATGATGCTCTCCAATTTAGTGTCCCCACCAAGACTCCGAAACTACACCTCGCTTCTCCCCCTACAAGAGAGAGAACCCCTTTCCCCCCACCCTGGCAATGACAAGGTGGTATGGAATGGTATGGAAAGGTATCAAATAACTTCTGGGTCCTGGCCATGCCCCCTCCCAGCTACTGGAAAAAATCAACTGTGTCCTGGCAGGAACCAGGACCGGGAAGTCCTCGTTTATTTGTGTGAGTTTATTTGTTTCCCAGTGTTCAGCTGCAAGACAATACCACGCTAATACTAAAAATACACAATTTTAGTGGCAGTCCTTTCTCCTCTTTTGCTGTGACACATATTCTTCACGTAGGTAGCTTTTCTCCACTCAAGATTTAATTTTTTTGTATGGCTTTAAAGTAACAGAGGGCAGGGTTAGATTGGGTATTGGGAAGAAATTCTTCCCTGTGAGGGTGGTGAGGCCCAGGGACAGGTTGCTCAGGGTTGCTGTGGCTCCTCCATCCCTGGAAGTGGTCAAGGCCAGGTTGGAGCAACTTGGTCTAGCAGAAAGGGGTTGGACTGGATGGTCTTTAGGGTCCCTTCCAACCCAAACCATCCCATGATTCTGTGATTGAAGAGGAGCGTCGGAAGTCACAGAATGAAACTTCACCACTGGCCCAGCAATTCTGACTCTTTTTGCTTTGTCTTCTTCATTACTAATTTAAATTGTTTTTTAATAAGTACGTTTTCATTCTGAGGTGGATGTGTTTGAATTTGGACATATATCACTGACAGCATCTGCTGTTGGACTGGTTTTCCTGAGGCTCCTGAGGAGGCTGCAGTGCAACCCCTCTCAGGATCACAGTTCCACAGGAGGATGCTTAACAGGGATTTTCATGTGTTTTCTCATCATTATACAAAAAGCTGCTTGGGGAGAGGGGAAGGAAGGGCTCTGCATGTACTGGTGTGTCTGTAAAACTGCTCTATTCCCCTCAGGCCCTGGGCCAGCTGAAGGGATGCAGGAGGCTCCAGCAGCTCGAGAGCATCCCTGTGCCAGTCCTGGGAAAGTAGATACAGTGCTTTGGAAGGGAAGGGCTGGCAAGGAGCGGGTTAAGCTGAGCAGGGAGCACAGCTGCCTGCCCCAAATGGGAGGATTGTGGCTGGGCCAGCTGTCAGGAATCAAGTAATCCCCCAGCAACCTGGGAGAGGAGAGGCCCTGTGTGGAGGCTCAGGGCTGCAGCCATGACTCAGACAGAAGCTTGGAGAAGCAGACACTGGGGGAGGTCCTCTCCTGCCATGCTGCTGCTCCACAGGGCCTTGTCTTACCCTTCTTCTGCCTGCACACGCAGCAGGGCAGTGTTTTTCTGTCTTCAGCCTGTGCCAAGCCGTGTACATGGCTTTCTGCGGGGTAAATCCGTTTGGGGCTGCTTTCCCTACAGCACAGCCATCTGCCCTCCACGAGGTTCACCTGTCTCTTCCCACCACCAAGCTTCCAGCACAAATGATGTGTGATACCTGTCAGTCTGTGCCTGTCCCAGCCTAGGAGAAGTTGTGCTGTTGCTTGAGCAGAACACTTGGCAGGCAGCGTGGGCACTGGCAGAGCAGGCAGGAGGTGAAGCTCTGGAGCCTGCTGATGACAGGATTGCACTGTAGGGTATTTACTGGCAGCTTCACAGCGATGGCTGTGGCTCCAGGAGGCAGAGATTTGACCCAGAATGCTTAGTCCACTCATCTGACCTGTCTCTGGGCTATCAAAAGCCACCGTTAGTTTTCAGATACCAGCTGAAGAGTGTTGTGATCCTGCAGGAATGCATGATCTACCTAAGCTGCTAATGCAATAGTATATATATAATATACAGCTTAAGGCATTCACAGTTACTAATTATGTTAAACTAGGGAAAACAGAAAGCAAAAATCAAATTACTAATAAGTGGATGACTGTGACTTAACAAGTTGATTTTAGCTGACCTTGAAGATAAACATACTTTCTGTTCAGTTCACATCTACTTGCTGGGGCCAAAACTTAAAAGCTGGTGAGTTTATTATGGCTTTTGGGTTGTCAACATTCTCCTGCCATCAGATAAATACTTTTAAATATATACAACATATAATGAATAATATTTATATATTACATGTATGTGTTTTGTATTCTCACATGAATTAAACACAGAATAAACATTTATCTTTCCCCTAGTAAAGTCATTAGAATTCCAATGTAAACTCTGTAAACTTTTAAAATTGCATAGCATGAATCTTTTCCTATCTGGAACAGTTTATTTTGCCAGTGCTGCCTTTTCAGAAAGGGGCACTTGCGTGTGAATACAACTGACTGAGCCTTGGAGTGACCTCCTCCTCTGCTTCCCTATTGCTGTCCTGTGTTAAGGTTCATCCTATTGCAGAAATAAAAAGACCATGGAGAAAGTTATAGTAAGTGGATTTGGAAATATAATCCAAGTGGTAATGGTATGCAGTTTTGTGCCCTGGAATCTCTGATTCTTTCCATCCCACTTGTATTTTTCTGGGAAACATGGTGCTGTAAAACTCTTGAGAGATGATAAATTCACTTTAAGCTCCCCTAAACAGAAACACTGCTCACCCTGCTACACTGTGACAAGATATTTTTGAAAGTAAATTTGCACCTTTGGATTTCTGGAAGGAGAGCCAATATTTTCCTCTCAGGCATTCATCCCATTATCTCCTGGCTTTGCTACGAGAACAGAGCGAGTCAGCAGAGTGGTGTGGGCTGGAATATTTATGAGGAAATTGCAAATACTTGAAACAAGCGCCTTTCTCTGAGAAATGCACACTGAAATTAATGTGGTTGTGGAGAGGCTGTTTATACTAGAACAGGCCACGTTAGTGAGCTGATGTAAAAATAATGCTGTGGAGAGGAGCATGTGTGTTTATGTGGTTAACATGCTGCTGTGGAGTCAGATTACATCGCTAGCAGGAACTTCCTGTGTGCTTTAAAGCAAGTTACTGCTTCTTTCTGAGATTCTCATCTCTCCTCTTTTAAATAGAAATGTCCCTTTGCTTTTTTTTCTTTTAATAGGGATCCTGTGAAGACAGGTACACTCCAACACCAAGTGCCACTGCAAGCAGAGCACATCGGTGCCTTATCGGGTGATATTTAATGTAATCTGTGTCAATCCCCCCCATGCTTCTTGCTCAAGTGAAAAATAAGTAGAATTTGAGGCAGCTCCTCCTTTCATGGGTGTGAGCAGTGTGTCTGCTGCTCCTACAGTGAGCTCTAGCAAGCAGTATATCTACAGGAGCATTCTGGTTTTGTGTAGTCTGTGGGGAACAATGCTACACAGGGCCATGGGGGTGACAAGACCTTTTCTGAGCCTGTGAGGAAACACAGAATCTGCAAGAACATTGTTGCATATCTGCAGAAAATGCCACACGTGGGACAAAGGTTCACGCGAAACCTGTCAGCTCTGATGTCTGCTGGAGGGCAGGAAGGCTCCTCAGAGGGTTGGATCGATGGGCTGAGGCCAATTGTATGAAGTTCAAGAAGGCCAAGTGCCAGGTCCTGCCCTTGGGTCACAACAGCCCCCTGCAGCACTACTCCGGGGCAGAGAGGCTGGAAAGTGTCCCACTGGAAAAAGACCTGGGGGTGCTGGTGTGGTTGAACAGGAGCCCAGGTGGGCAGGAAGGCCAAGAGCGCTTGGGCTGTACCAGCCATGGTGTGGCCTCAGCCTAGGGCAGGGACTGTCCCCCTGTGCTGGGCACTGGTGGGGTCACACCTCAAATCCTGGGGTCACTTTTGGGCCCTTCACGACAAGAAAGACCTTGAGGAGCTGGAGCGTGTCCAGAGAAGGGAATGGAGCTGGGGAAGGAGCACAGGTCTAATGAGGAGCAGCTGAGGGAGCTGTGAGGGCTCAGCCTGGAGAAAAGGAGGCTCAGGGGGGACCTTCTCACTCTCCAGAACTCTCTGACAGGAGGGGGGAGCCCGGGGGGATGTCAGGTTCTGCTCCCAGGGAACAAGGAACAGGGCAAGAGGAAACAGCCTGAGGTTGTAGTAGGGGTGGTTTAGGTTGGCTATTGGGAAAATTTCTTCACCAAAAGGGTTGTCCAACCCTGGCACAGCTGCCCAGGGCAGTGGTGGAGTCACCATCCCTGGAGGGATTTAAAAGATGTGTAGATGTGGCACTTGAGGACTTGGGTTTAGTGCTGGCCTTGGCAGTGTTAGGTTTATGTTTGGACTTGATCATCTCGATGGTGTTTTCCAACCTGATGAGTCTGTCATTCCATGGTGGTTGAGGAGTTCCTCTATATTCCTCTGGTTTATGTAAATGGACATTTTTCATAACACCAAAGGCAGGAACAAAACCAAACCCTCCTGCACTTGTTTTCTCTCTGTTACAGAAACAGGAGGTGTGTGGAAACCTGACTTTACAGCATCACATGCTTGAACCAGTGCAAAGGATTCCTCGTTACGAGCTTCTCCTGAAGGACTATTTAAAGAAACTTCCAGAAGAATCTCCAGACAGGAAAGATGCTGAAAGTACATATAAACTCCTCTCTGTCTAATGAGCACAATGAAATCTTGGGCACTTTTTTCTTCACATGTTCAGATACTTACCCCCAGGACTGTAGGAGAAATGGAGATTTTAATTAATCAAATCATTGCCAAACAAAGGGGTTTTGAATGCTTTTGGAGTAGAGAAGAAAAGGATTGGGGTGCCAGCTCTAGGAACAAAAGGAGCAAATAGGCAGAGACCATCTATTGAAGTTTGTCCTGGTAGAACATCTGGCATTTTTGTTTAATCCGTTGTATGGCCAGGGACAAAGACGGATGGACATCCTTGCAATAGCCAGAGGAAGAAAGTAAGAATGGTTTTAAATGTGTATTGTATTTAAATGTATATTTCTTGCCAGGAAAATCAGTTAGACTCTGTTCACACAGAGAAACAGGAGAAATGGACTTCTCTTTGTTTTGAGGAATTTTTGATCTCAGCCAAAACAGGGTCCACATTACTGTAAGTAGGCAAACCCTGTTCTAGAAAAACAATCTTAAAAACATGCTTGTAAAGACCTAAGTGAGACTTAACTTTTAGTAGGTGATTCCTAGAAGATGGAGTTTTTTGTCACTGTACTCTTTGGCTCATCTGGACTTTTAGGAAAGAAAGGTGAAACATTAAACGCACACGGATCAGCTGAATGTGCAGAAGTGATTGTGTCTATAACAGCAATTTGGACAAAAAAATAATAATCAGGGAGGTGAAAAAAACCCACAAGGTGCTATTAACAGATGTAATGTGGAGAATGCATAACTGTTGGTGCCTTTCTTGCAGAGTCGCTGGAGCTGATATCGACGGCAGCGAACCATTCCAATGCAGCCATCCGGAAGATGGTGAGTAGCAATTCCAGAATGAATTGGGATCTTGGCTGAACTGATAGTTTCTCATTGCAACAGGCTCAGTACAGTAAACTGGGGAGGTATTTCAAATACTGTCAGTCAGGCTTTAAACATCCGTTGGCTCTCTGAGTTCTCTTTATTGTAAATGCAGTTACTGTGTGTTGTTGGGCTTAAATTTCATTTTACTTGTTTTTAAGGACCCAATGGGTTGAAAAGGGAGGTCTTCACAAAACTCATTATTTGCTTTTCCCTGAAAAGCATTGAAAGCATTCCAATTAGGTCCATTTGTAAGGTGTCTTTGCAGGTTTTCATGCTGGTTTTGTAGTCCTATAGGCCTTCAGCAGACTGAAGGTTGCTTTGATTTGGTTTTGGCTCATCTTAAATGCACTGAGTGTGCATTTAGCACATATCAGTAGCTTTGGAAAGCTGCACTTCAGAAGCTGGGCAGTCAGACCACAGATATTTTGAACATTAGCAAATGTTTTACCTATAGAAGAGCTCTAGTGCATTACCATAAAAGTAAATGGACTTTATAGTTGCAGATGTTATCCCTTTGGTGCACCCAGGTGTCTCAGGACCTTTTGTATTTAATAGATCTGAAATGCTGTGTGTCCAGCTTAATACCCACTGGCCATTTGTGGGTGCAAGGTTTATGTCCCCTTCCCTCTCAGACTCTTACTTCCTCCCCAGCCAGTGGGGACACCACAAGATCACGTTTCCTGTGGCTGCTCTGGGGCAGTAACCAGCTGGTGTCTGTGTATTTTCAGTATGTCTGAAAACACAGTGAGGAAACCATCTGTTTCTGTTTGAGTCTGGTGTGTTCTCTTGATAAGGATATATTTTGGTGGAAATTTTTCTGGTTTGAGGCCTCTAAAATCTCTTTTCCTGGGGGCTGTGTGCAGTATCTCTGCAGACAACAGGAATAGGAAGCTACGGGCTCGTGGCTTTCTGTGTTGGATGCTTTTTCTGTTAGTACACAAAAACCTATTGGAAAAGGCTGCAGTAATAATTTTGCTGCATGAGGTCCAAGCCAAACCAAAAGGAAAGAGAATGCTGTAGCAAAATCTCCAAAAGTTAGTGGAGGTTTGAACTGAGTGTTGGCTTCTTCCTCCTGTTGTGGTGCAGTAGAAGAAATAAATCATGCTTCCAAAGCTGATTTATCCTAGAAGTGCAGATGTTCCTCAGGTTTTGGATCTAGTCTTAGTGTTCTAGTTTCCCCTTTAAAAAAAACCAGTTTGAGATGGTTGCTTGTTTGTTTCTTTGTAAATTAGCAGGATCTCTTGCTCATCTTCCCATTTGGTGGAAAAACAATCTGCCTTTTGATGCTTAGGTGATTTGCATACTTGTTATTAGTCCACGTCCCCCACCTTCCATTTTGTTTGCAGTGTGTTTATTTTAATGGTTTGAGTTTGTGTTTCTTTTTTTGGTGGCTTTTTTATTTCACTGTTCATTTCTTTAATCATTGGTCAGAAGAACTGATTAGGACAGGAATTGGCGTGATACATATTTATGGTGAAAATTCTTGAGCCAAGTGGAGATAAATAAAGTGTGTGAAGACCTGAAATTCCAGCTTAATCTATGGGTAGGTAGAGGTATGATTTAGAGGTGTGTTTGGGCATATATTTGGGTATGGATACAGACCATGACCATCAGTCTTGGTCTTCACTTCCTGACCATTTGCTGACAGTGCCATTTGGACCACATCTGTCCAGCTTGAGGTTGGAAGCTAAACCTTTCCAAAGGCTGTAATTCGGGAGCACGGGTTACACACCTTTCTTATTTTGACTTGTTACAGCTTCTGTACTGCTTAATAAAGTGGATGAAGGTGTTACCTTTATCCATTTGATTACTGTATAGAGGGACTTTAATATTTGGATGACTTAATGTAAAGTAGGAACACTGTTTTGCTGGACAGGAAGTAGTAATCCCTTCATAAATATTTTTGACCGAGATATAGGGATTCCTGTAGTGCATGAAAACTATATTTTAAGAATTTTGACCTGGCCTATTTCAGAGGTACTTTTGGCCATGGAGGCTCCTGTGTAGGACTGCAGCATTGCTCAGACAGCTGAGGTTTTAGGCTTAGCTTAGAGCTGCAGAATGTGACTGTGCTTCCTGATGGAGACCTCCCTCCAGTTGTGTCAGCAGCAGACACAAGAGGTGACACTTCTCAGAAGCTGAGAAATGAACACACTGTGGCAGGAATCTTAGTCTGAGACGTAGAGTGGAAGCTGGGTTAATAAATTAAAACTTGGAAATTATTTGGTAATGTATTGGTCTCCAACTTGGCCATTGATTTTACTGGACCCAGTGTCATTGCTTCCGAACATAATGGTTCCAAAGGGTTTGGACTTGAAGATCTTGGAGATCTATTCCAACCTTTATGATTCTGTGATACATATTTATTGTTGAATAGTAATGACTAAAAATATCAAATAGATTCATCTCAAAATATCATTAAAATGGTACAATCCTGGGTGACTAATCCAGAGTGGGGAGGAGAACTGAAGAGTATGCAACAGGTATTCAAGAAAATGCAAAGCTATAGCAGAAGCAAAACACTTATTTTCTTTCCAACTTATTTCCACTTACCACAGAAATGACACAATGGGCAATTGACCGAGTGGAATAAATTTTTAAATTTAAATTGCCGGATTTCTGTACTTGCAGGAAAAGATGCACAAGCTTTTGGAAGTCTATGAGCGCCTGGGTGGTGAAGAGGATATTGTTAACCCAGCCAATGAGCTCATTAAAGAAGGACATATTCAGAAACTTTCAGCAAAGAATGGCACAGCACAGGATAGGTATTTATTCCTGGTGAGTGCTTTAGTTGCTCTTTTCTTTTCAGAGTTGTGCTCAGGTTGGATGGGCCTTGGAGCAACCTGGGAAGGTGTCCCTGCCCATGGCAGGGGGTTGGTATGAGATGAACTTTAAGGTCCCTTGTAACCCAAACCACTCTATGATTCTATGGTACATTCCCATCTTTCTAAGCTCAAATACAAAAAGCCTTCACCAGCTGAGCCCAGCTACTCCTTCTGAGCAGCAGTTTTCCCTTGAAGCTTTTGCTCGAGGATTTCCTTCCTTCTTCCATGCTGTGATTTTACTGATGCCTTATCAGGTCCAAAGGTGCCTTTCCCATCTCCCTCCCCAGAGGCTGAGTTTTTGTGGAGTGCCAGAGGAGGCTGTTTCCATCCACACCACGTTGCTGCAGGTGGTGGCCAGCTCTTGCTGGCACTGAGGGAAGAGCTCTTGTGCTCTCAAGGCAGTCAAATGCAGAGGGAGGGGCAGAAGAGAGAAGTGACTGACTGACATGTTTCTGTCTGCATTGCTTTCAGTAATGATCCCTGAGCCCAGCTTTCACCTTAAACCTCTTCTTAAGAACTGCACCTTAGAATAAAACACACCAGAGAGCTAAACTGTCACAATGCAGGGTGTGTCCAGCATTGAATCCCCTAAGTTAAACTCTTGTCTTGTTGCAGTTTAACAGCATGGTGCTGTACTGTGTGCCAAAACTGAGGCTGATCGGCCAGAAGTTCAGTGTCCGAGAGAAGATGGACATTGCAGGACTGCAGGTTTGCATCTCTTCTTTTTCCCTGTTTTAATGCTTCTCCACTTGATAGCCTCAGATCCCTGCTGAATCCAAAAACGTAACACTGTATGCATATAAAAACATAATAAAATTCTAAAATCCAGCTTTGGATCACTTCCGATCAATCCAGCTTTTCCGCTACAAGAAAGACCTTAAGGTGGCAGAGTGTGTCCAGAGAAGGAAAATGAAACTGGGGAAGGGTCTGGAGCACAAGTCTGATGAGGGAGCTGGGGGGATTCAGGCTGGAGTAAAGGAGGCTCAGGGGGGACCTTCTCGCTCTCTACAACTCCATGGAAGGTGGGTGTAGCCAGGTGAGGGTTGGTCTCTTCTCCCAGGTGATGGGATGAGAGGAAACGGCCTCAAGTTGCACAAGGGAAGGTTTAGATTGTATTTTAGGGAAAATTTCTTCACTGAAAGGGCTGTCCAGCCCTGGCACAGGCTGCCTTGGTCAGTGGTGGAACCACCATCCCTGGAAGTGTTCAAAAAACCGTATGGATGTGGCACTTGAGAACATGGTTCAGTGGTGAACATGGTGATGCTGGGTTGACCCTTGGACTTGGTGATCTTAGAGGTGTTTTCCAACCTTAATGATTCTGTGATTGTATCTCTTTTTGGGTTTGTTTTTTGAATTGTTATAAGGTAACCATTCGGAGGGAAGTAGAATCATGGTCACTGTGTACATGCTTTGATTGAAAGCCTTCCCTGGTCCCCTGGCTGACCCAGGAGCCACCTTCTCCCCTGCTGCTCTAGGGGACTGCTTGATGATACTGATCCACAAGTTTTGTAGCAAGACAAGTAACTGAAAACAATCCCTTAGTTTTTCTCCCTCTGTACCATATTCAGAATGATCCTTTTGACTGAGCATTTCAAAGAATATTTGTAAGTCATTAAAAATGATGGAAAGACAAGGTGGATGAGTAGGAAGCTGACTTGTTCTTTTTACAGGTCCAAGAAATTGCCAAGCAAAATGTGACTCATACGTTTTCCATAACAGGAAAAAAGAGGTCACTGGAACTACAAGCCAGGTATAGTACCCGTTCAGTCTTGGGAGTTTTGTGAATATATATGGAGAAATTGATGATCTAGGGGCTGTGCAAGTGTGACAAAGCTTTAAACCATGAGGGGAGCAGCAGAGATGTGTAACTTAGACATGCAAGAGGTTGGTCCTAAGCCAAGGTGTGTTACAGTGCTGTGTTGATTGCCTTTATTGAATGCTTTCAGTGTTTGTAGTAGTGCTTGTAAGTTCCACTGTATCAGCAATTAAAATATTTTTGACATTTTCTAATAACTACAGTCAAATATTTTTAATAATGTTTATAAAATAGTGGATAGTAAAGCTAAAATCTTGATGGATATAAAGCTGTGAATTGAATTTACTGAAAATATTGGAAGTAAAATGAGCATGTTTCCTCTGTTTTTCTTTGTTTTAACAGGACAGAAGAGGAGAAGAGGGAATGGATTCAGGTTAGTACAAAACACTAATGATAAGGGGAAGCAATCACCATGCTGGCAGCATTTAAAATTCACTTTCTGGGGTTCTGGATGAATGTGGCTGTGCAAGGAAGCTGGGTGGGCCAATCTGGTGGAGATGCTCCTGGAGAGATGTGGAGGCCAGTCAGGGTCCAGTGCTGACCCACTGGCTCCACAAAGTGTCTGGGGGCTCCAAATGGGCTCCCCTTTCCTGCAGTCCTCAAGCTCAGTGAGAGAGGAGACTGAGGCATCAGGCCTTGTGTATTCTTGCAGTTTGACCTGTAGAGACCCTATCTGATGGCAGTTCTAGTTTTTAACCTAAACAGTAGTGAGTTAACACCACCACTCAAGATTTTTAAGTTTCCCTTTCATATATACAAGTCTAAGGGTTTTTCATCAAATCATAATCCTACCCATCTTCCTGTGAAAGTTTTTTTTTTTTATGATGCTTCTCATCTTTGCTGGAATTTTTGTCTCAGGTCATTCAAGCCACAATTGAAAAGCACAAACAGAACAGTGAGACCTTCAGAGCTTTCAACAGCTCTTTTTCACAAGAGGAGGAGCATCTTCCTGATTCCTCAGTAAGTACCAGTGCTTCATTCTCCTTTGCCAGAGCAGTTTTACTAGTAGTTAAAACCTACACATCTACAGTTACTCAGCCCTGCAGGGCTTAAAAAGACTTAAAATTGATGCATTTTAAAAGGATCTTAAATAATTAGGAATTTCATGCAGTGCTGCCTGGGACTTGATGATTTCAGACACAGTAGATCTTGGAGCAGAGGAAGAAAAGGTCCATCTGCAGAGATTGAACTTTGGGAGCTTTTTCTCTTCCCCCTCCCCTGCCCTCCTAAACTGTTCGGGCTTTTTCTGTTTTGGTACCTAACAATTTTTGATGTCTCTCCTTTCCCAGGACTGACTCAGTGACTCAATAATCTGGATTTTTATCTGACTGATTTCCCAGGAGCCTCAGGAGAGATGTTGGATATGCCTTTTCTTTCCTGTATTATCAGACTGACAGTGGAGATCTTCCCAAACCTCCCCAGGGTCTAGAATCCCATTGCTGATAGCAGTCAGCAATGAGCCATTTTCAGAATCTGGCATGGTTTACTGCTCTTGAGCTATTCAGCAGCTAAAAATATTCAGAAAAAAAATAGAAAATAATCAATCCTTGCCTGTCTTTTTCACTTAACTCATGGCTGCCTTCAGAGCCAGGATGCTCTGATGGAGAAAAACCTTTTGCTAATAAGCGAACTAATAAACACACTTTTTTGTGTAATTAAGACACAGCATCTGTTCAACTTCATAATAATTATCTTGCTTTGTAAATTCTGTTTGATTTTGCTTCTTTGTTTGTGGTGTAGCCACATGTTTGTGCTCTGCTCTTCATAGAAGTCAAGCAGAGCAGGAGTCTGGTTTATCCCTGGGTATGATATTAATGCAGTCTGCACCATAATTTCCTTAATGCTGGAATGCTAACCTGCATTTTTAGGAGATTAGCTTCTCTAGATAATCAGCTTTGAAAACTGATGTCACGGCTAAATGTGGCAGAAATTGCTGTCAGTTAAAAGGAGCTGAAAGTATTTCTGTAAGGAAAACTGGACAAATGCTGAGAGCATTCTTAGTTGCAATACACTGTGGTAGGCAGCATCCACCATGCATATCTCATCATCTATGGAATATTGAGCAGCTACTTTAGAGGAAAAAATGACAATAATCATCTTTTTTGCTCTCATGAGTCAAGAAATAGATATGCACTCATGGATTCCAGGCTGGATCTGTAACAACTACTAGAAATTGGCCTCTGGTTCTAATAAGCCTGTAGAAAAAGAGTCAAATTGCTTTTCTTCCATCCTTGGCCATACATTTACTGTGTTACAGTGCTTATGACAGGTTGCAGTTCATGATCAGTGCCTGCCTTTGCATGCAACTCTGACCATGCTTCTGTGTCCCTGCTGGCTCACATAAGCTCATCCCAGCATTATGGGGTGATTTCACCCTGAAATCTGCCTACAGAAGACTTGTGGTTTTTGGGAGGTGAAGAGATCTGAAATTTGACCTGAAATTATGCCTTCAGCAATTAATGAACTCTCAGGAGGGGAGTGTTCAGTGTCCAATCAGTCCCAGGCAGGATAAGGGTAGCAGCAGTCTTTTAAAGAAAAGTCTTCTGAGAAAGCTTTGTGATTCCTTTGTAGCTTAGTTCTCCATTTTCACCTGCAGCATTTCCAGGCTATGTGAAGGGTGTTTTTAAAGCCATCTAAAAATGTTCCCAAGAAGAAGGACCTCTTCTACCACTGCTTGATCTAAGAAGAGTTAGAGGCTCATGGTGTGGGGAAGGAGCCAGTTTGTGCAGTATTGGAGGCTGGCAAGGAAAAGTGCTGTAGAGAGCTGAGCTCTGTGGAAGTGGCATCCCAGAGATTTAAGACTGAGAATGCTTCTGTTAGTTAAACTATGATTTCTGGATGCTGAACCATCATTATTTCCCTTCGTAGTTTCTGTCTGTCCCCATAGTTCTGGGTAGTTTTGACAAAAATCTCAATAACTGTGTTCATACCAGATCTTACACACTGTGAATGGCAATGGTAACATAACAAGGAGAAGCCCTTTTGAAATATTTTCCAGGTAAGAGTACAGGGTATTTGATTTTTAGCCCTTTATTCCAAGTAAGCATTAAATGGACACGAGGATCTGAACAGGCAACTGGAGAAGTTTACTCTTCCCTAAACTCGCTGGGGGTTTTTTCAATCTCTTCTTCAGATCCCTTTTTTTTTTTGCTTTTCTCCACATTTTCCCTTTCCCAAGTCCCCTGTCACAGCACAAAGACGTCCTTTTACTAGGCAGAATAAATCCCTGAATTGATTTAGGATCCCAGTGAAAAGAACCCCTTTCCACAGGACTGAGGAACAGGTGATGTGAAGACCTTAGGGTTGCTGGGTTATGTGGAGGCAGAAATAGCTGGCTAGAGCTGAGGAGTGATGCTTCCCTTTAATGCAGTCTCATTCCCTGAGGAAGTGCTCTGGGGTGGCATAAGCCTGGCCCCAGGGGATGCATTTGCTCCTTTCTTTGTTCTAAAGAGCCATTGATTGTATTAGAATAGAAGTAGGTACAGTGAGGTATCAAGATTAATAGCTCTTCAGTTTGGCTGCTTACTCACGGTACAGGTCATGTTGTTTCTAATAACAGAGGTTAAACCTTTTTGCTTTCAAGTGGAATGAAGCCAGAGTGCCAGAATGCACTGGCCTTTTGGATAACCTCGAAATAAGAGATGTTGTCTGACTGACAAAGGAAGAACGATCTGTGGGAGTAACAGGAGAGTTTATCATAAAGGGTCTCATAGTTTGAGAACCCCCTGGAAACCAGCAGACTCCCTGTAAATTAATGGCAGAGGAGATGATTTTCCTTTCTTTTTAGGATGTAGCCTGTGATTTTGGTGCTAAATGTAAACGAGCTTGTTATTTGCCATCTGTATCTATTGAATACATATAGATACATGAATATTGTCTATGAATTCTATGTGAATATATATGTAGAGGTGCCATTTTGCATTTATTAAGAAATTGAGATGTATTGCAATGAAGAAAAAGTTAACTGAGTAGTGTTTGAGTGGAGTACATTTTGTTCCTGTCAGAATGCAGTGCCTGCACAGAGCCCTTGCTGCTTTGGCTGGCAGGCTCTGCTGGTGTCCTTCAAACCATGGCATTGGCTTTCTGCAGCACGTGGGGGGCAGGCACAGGTTGCACTCAAAGGCAGTTGGGTGCCATCTGTAAAGTCATCCACGTCAGAGCCAACCCCATATTTGTGGGTGGCTGAGCATATGTGCAACATGTGCACCCAGTCTAGTGGAAGGTGTCCCTGCCCGTGGTGGGGGGTTGGGACAAGATGGTCTTTAAGGTCCCTTCCAACCCAAACCATCCTGTGTTTCTGTGATAAGATTCTATGAATCAAAATGTATTCAGAAGAGAAGAGATGAGGGGCTGAAAGCAAACTTTTGGTTTTGTTTTCTCTTCTTCTAAATTCTTTTACCCATTTTTCTTTGTTTTGTTTTCTTTTTGATGTTTAATATATTTTAGGAAGAATGTCCGTGTTGAAACTGTTCTGTGTCGTTGTTTCCCTCAGATAGCCAGCACCAGCTCAGTGGAATCAATGCCAGGAGCAGATGGTGGTGGTGCATTTGGAGGGGTGAGTAATTTGAAGCTAATACTTGAGGCAGAGCAGGGATGGGGAGAGTGGATTATGTTTCTTTTGTAGCAGAGGGAAAAAAAAAAATCATACTTCAATATATGGGTTTATATCCTGCTGTCTGTGGCTGCAGCTGTGCTGTCCTTAACCTCTTGGCTAAGTCACACAGCCACTTTTGCAGCATCAGGGAATTTGAATTCTGCTCAGATTCTTGCTGCCCATGTGTCTGAGCCTGGTTTGGAGGAACCTCGATGGAGAGACGTTGGTTCTTAAAATTGGGAGCACTGGCTTTTGGAGGGGGGTGTTGGGTTTGGGTGGGTTTATTACGAGGGTCTTGTGGGGGTTTTGTTTGGGGGTTTTGTTTTTTTTTTTTTTTAGGTTTTGTTTTGTTGGGGTTTTTTTGTTTGGTTTTGTGTCTGCGTGTTCAAATTGTGATAGGGAGCTACACTGAATGTTTGGAGGGAGGAGGGCAAAAAGAGACCAGGAAACCTATCTGGGTAGTGCTGTCGCATTGTGTGACTCAGGATTTCATCTCCAGGACCAAATTTTGATTAACAGTTCTTCCGTAGTGTCTGCCACAAAAGCAAAATAGACTTTCAAAGGTGTGTTTCATTTTGCTCAGTACAGTCTGGGACTGCTGCTGAGTCAAACCCGAGGGTTTGAGTCCTTAATAAGGTCTATTTTTTAGCATTTTTACCTCTGCCTTCTAGAATAAAAGATTTTCAGGAAATGCCTCAGGGTCAGCTGAGTTTACTGAAGAAGCCCCAACAAGAACAAACAACAACAACAACCAAAAAAACCCTTATCTGCCGAGACAGGCTACAGGGTGTTGAGTATTTAGCATGACTTTTTAATAACAAAGAAGCCATTCAGCAGCTACTCCAGACTTCTGGCCAAGCTTGGAACCTTCTGGTAGAGTATACAGAGTGTCAATGCAAAGCTGTTAAACAAGCCAGCAACTCAACCTATATAAAAACCAGGTTATTAAAAATAAGTGTTTGTGATTAGTGTGCTCCTTGCTGGTTATTTTTGGTTCACACTTCATATTTTCCCTAAGCAATTTTTTCTTTATTTGTAGTAATTTTGCAATTAGTGCCCCTGTGCCTTGAGTTGCAGATGCTGTAGTGAGCAAGCAACTTAACAAAAAAGATGTTTGAAACTATTAAAAAAAAAAAACACAAAAATTTCTGGTGGTCTTAAGTTTCTTGGAGAAATGTAAATTTTATCTGTAAATAAATTAGAAAGTTATATCTTTTTACTTGATTATGAATAGTAATATCAATGGTTTGCCTAGCATATCTTGACACATTAAATAATTTACCTTAAGTCATGTATTTAAAGAAAAAATTAATTCCTGAGATAGAAATAAAAATGGAGCTGGTAAAAAAGACAAAGCTAAAACCACCAAAATTGCATAGTATTGATTCTGGGCAAATTGATAATATCAGCGTGAGCAATGAATAAAGATGTCAGTTACAGCTTCAGAAAATAAGAATTTTTAATGCCGACACCCCTTTAATAACAGCTCAGTGAGAGCACAAGCACCGTGTGCCCAGCAGCTTCACACACAAACCACTTGGTGGTAGTGGTGGCCAGGAAAACTGGGAGCTCCTTCCTGTGCTTCCCAGAGTCTGCTGAAGAGGCTGCTGGCATTTCCTTCAGTGTTCACGTTTGCATAACCAGGCAGTGCAGTCCCAGTGCAGGAAGGATCATCTACCCCTGTACAGCATCGTGGTACCTCTTTGCTGTTACTCTGCTGCTCTGCACTTCTGGCACAGTTTAGGCTCAGCCTTCTGTGTGCAGGAGGAGAGGACGAGCCTTTGGCAAACTGTCTGACACTTAACCGTGCATGAATGATGTTGGCACGTAGAGAAACGCACTAAAAAATTGCCAAGTACAAAATTTACCATATAATTTAAAATCATTTCTTTATTCAGCATTTCCAGAAGCACCTGCTGATGTTCTGCTCCATTGTGGGTGGCCCTAAATATGTAACTTGTAAATGCAAAATACGCCTGTAAGAGCATAATGAGAAAGAAAATGATGGAAACCCCTTTGTTGCTCATGTGTCTGCCCCTGAAAGAGTCTCACCAGCCTGTGCCTCATGTTGCATGTACAGCATTGAGGCTGAATTTTTACCTGCTGGCCCAGACAGAATGAAATATCTGGCCCAGAGAAGCTGTGGCTGCCCCATCCCTGGAAGTGTCCAAGGCCAGGTTGGATGGGGCTTGGAGCAACCTGGGCTAGTGGAAGGTGTCCCTGCCCATGGCAGATGGTCTTTAAGGAACCCAAACCATTCTGGGATTGCCTGATTCTGTGACTATATAGCAAGTAATAAATAATAGAACAGCAGTCTCCCGGGTGCACTGGTTTTCTTGCTGTTCCTACCAGCTTTTTGGTGATTATTCCCTGCTTTTCAGAAGCAAATGGAGGCTCCTGTGGTTCACTGATGAGAAGATGTCTGCTTTCCTAAGAAGGCCAGCCATGGACCTTCAGCTTGCAGTCACATGAGCTGTACCTGTTGCTGGGATATATACTGGTTTTCCACCAAAATTATAAAGTTGGAGGAAACTGTCAAGATTTAGAGAGTTAAATGCAGCTGTACGGTAAAAGCAAAGTGGTCAAAAGAGCCTGGTCTGAAAGCTCCTGGCTCTAAACAGATTTTATGTCAGTTTTTTTTCCTGTCAGACTCATCAGCTTCAAAACAGAGCTGGGTATACAGTGAAAGATGAGAAGTAGGACAATTATTTAAGTGCATTAGTTTCAAGATACTTCAGCTGCAGCTCGGGCAGCTCTGTCTTAGCGTCTCTTTTAGCAAGCATCAGCAGTACATAAAGTAGCTTGTGTAATAAAGGACACAGTTGCAAAAATTTATCTGTGATGAACAATGTGAATTATGATGCATGTCCTTGTTTGCTACGAAAACCACTGTTCAGATGATGTGTTTAGAATATGTGGTCAGGTCAAGTGAGCCATCACTGGGTGGGATGAGGGCAGTGCCTGTGCAGCAAGGCATGGAAAACAAAGTGCTTTTTAATTCTTTCTCAGTGTGAGCAGTTAAATATCACATCATTGAAAAAGTCTTTCCTCTGTATTTGTTCACTGGAGTTTGCCAAGTCATAAAGACTCTTTCATTTTTGTTATATTTTCTACAGCTGCAATAGCAATGTTTCAAACTCTTGTGTTCTCGCTGTGTTCTCACAATATTGAGAAATATTATGAAATATTGCTGCCGTTCACCAAACACTTAATACTTTGCTAATCCAAGAAGGCCCTGTATAAAGAGGTGTTCAGGTGTTTGTTGTATGCTACAGTGCAAGTTAAAATATAATGGTGTAAAATAGAAGCTTGTGCAGAACTGTCCTAACAAATCTTGCCCAATATAATAGATTTTCTGCTTTCTTTCTTTGTCAAATATACGGGTCAGGTATTTCTGGAAGCAGACACTGTCCAGACTGTTCCACACTGAGGAGGGTGTCAAATAGAAGATCCATTAAAGGAAATATTCAACTTGAGTGTTATCTGTGTAATAGAGTGTGCATGTGGGAGATGATGGATATTCCTGTAGAAGTACAAGCCAAATTAACCAATTTCCACATGAAGCAGCCCATTCAATTCGTGGTAGAGGAACTCCAGCATTTTTCTTATGTAGGCATGTGTAGGTATCAACTGAAAGCCAAAAACTGGTTTTGTTTAGCATTTGTCTCGATTATCTTCCAGTCAGAGCTCACAGGGGTAAATGGTGCCCTCATTTATGCTCTTGCCACCAGTGTAATTGTGGTTAATATAAGAATCAAAAGTCTGATTATGCTGCATGCAAATTTGAACTATTAAGACAAGAAAAAATAAGGCTGACCCGTGAGGAAATGCTCTGATCTGACAATTTAAGGACAATCCCTCCCTCCCTAGTGGAAGAATAATCAGATTTCTAAAACATTAAATTTGGAATCACCCTAATTATCTGCTTTTCTCAGAGGGGTCTCATAGAGCCTGAAAGGAAAGGCTTGCTAATGACTCATCCTGGGCATTGTTCCCTTGGTGTGATTCAGTGTCCTACTGGTTGTAGCCGGTTCTTTACAAGGAAAGTGAAATACTGCTCTCTGCTCTAAGTGTGGGAGCACTTGGATTTGCCGGCGTTGTGTTTTGCTGAGCAATTAATATGTGTTTATGGAGTTATAGTGATTTTCCTGAATGAACAAATCTATGACTGCACTTCACCAAGCTGAATTGCCATACATCCTATGTGCTTGTATACAAGTTTGAAACATTGCTATTGCAGCCATAGAAAAGATAATAAGAATGAAAAAGATTCAATCCAATTAGAGGTAATTAGTTGTGGTTTTGTTGTGTAATGGCATTATAAGGCAGGGTGGTTCCAGTGGCTCTGCTGAAATACAACGTGCTGTCCTCTGTAAACAGGGAATGCAGGGCAGACTTGAGGAGGCTGACACCACTGGGAGAGTGGTGTCAGCTTAAAAAATCGATTTTTTTTTTCCTCTACTTGACCTGAAAATCTCTATTAATGACTTCTGTATGTTAGTTCTAAGGACTGAGGTGAGACCTTAGGGTGAATAGCAGGATTTTCCTGACACTGGTGACACCTGCCTGGTGATCCCTGGGCAGGCACTGCTAATTGAGATGTGTTTGCTGTTGTCTTGCTGCTAATTGAGATGCTGTTGTCTTTCCTCATCTTTGTGCTAAAGAAAAGCATTGAAGAAGGGGAAGTTTGTTGAGCCAGTTGTTCTCTCTCAAGTGGACCTGAGTGACTTAGTGTGCAGGCATGGCTTAAAGGGAAGAAGGGTTGTCAAGGAGCCCAGAATCTGTCTGTCCTACAACGGACCTGATCTTCACCTGGTTCGTTTTCAGAAAACATGTAAAATACCTCTACCCTTTTGTTTTAGAGGAAATGTTTCTTCTCCCAGTAGTTTGTTAAATGATTGAGTCAAGCAAGCAAAGATGAAGAGAGTTATCAAACGTCTCTCATGAAAGAGCTGTGCCAGAGGAATGTGGTGCAGCCAATCCTTTGGGTCTCTGTGTGGATGCTGCCTGGCTGAGGGTACCCCAGTCTTGCCCACAGGGAGCCACTACTGCTTGCACATAGCCAGCTTGACCAGGGAGGATAAATATATTTATTTTAAAACAGAAAACAAAACAGGGATCTGTTCTGTATCTAATCAGAGCTCCATGTGAAGTTGTATTTTTGTGATCTGCACATTGGCATGGTAGTCATAGAATCATGGAACGGTTTGGGCTGGAAGTGACCCTAAATATCATCTTGTTCCAACCTCCTGCCATGAGCAGGGACACCTTCCACCAGGTTGCTCAGAGCCCTGTCCAGCCTGGCCTCGGACAAACACCTCCAGGCATGGGAAGTCCAGTTTATGCTGGATCCACTAGTGCTCTTCAGTTTATCAGAAAATTGTGCAATTGAGTTTAATTATTCCCAGTGACTTCAGGTACCAACTTAGATGCTCAGATTTAGAGGCTTAACTCACCTGGCCACCTAAACAGCAGACAGTGCATGTCATCTGCCTAGAGGAGTTGATAGCAGGTCCCTAGTGTGGGTGTCTGTCCCTGCCTTCCTGAGGAGCTTCATGCTTTGTTGTGGGCTGAGAGGGAGCCTAAGGAAACTCCTAAATTAGGCATTTGGAGTTTGAGTGGTGCAAAATCCACTGCCAACACCATTCATTAACTTCTTCACTGAAGCCATTTTTCCCCAAACCTTCACATCTGCTCCCCACCAGGGGAGGGGAGTTTACAACTCACTCATAAAGTCAACATGTGCCTTAAGCAAGGAAGAGGTGAGGGCTGGAAGGGAAGTTCTTCTTGAGATGCCCACGTTGGCCATTCCTCTTCCTCACTGACAGGCAGGGAGAGGAAGTCTCTGTGGCAGTAAAAGCACAAGTGGGCAGAAAGGGGCTGAGACCCCTGGGGCTGAACCATCCATCCAGTTGAGACAAGCAGCAGAACTATGCAAATTCTTTCCTAGAACGGTGTGAATCCCAGAGGATCTCTGCCAGTAAGAACTCCGCGAATAATTTTTGCAACTTTTAAAATTATTGTATTTTTAATCACGTACTTGTGCTTTTAATTTCAGAGTGATTCTTGTAGAAAATCCTCCAAATCCAAGCGGGACAAGGAGAAACAGGCTTGCAAGAGCTGCAGTGAAAGCTTCAACTCCATCACAAAGAGGCGGCACCACTGTAAGCAGTGTGGGGCAGTAAGTATCCCAGTGAGCTCAGCTCCTGAGTTCCTTCTGCAGAAATCATTGCAGACAATTTTTTACTTTTTTTTCAGTGCAGGAACTAAAAGACATTCCAGTTCATGGCAAGTGGTTGACAGAACAGGTTTCCCCACTTGCTTTACTCCCTGGGAATCAGGAGGAAGAAGAGCTAAAGTGGTGCAAAGTCCCAGGCTATGCTGCTTAAAAGGCAAATCCAGTGCATCTGTGGGTAAAAGGAAAGGTGGTGGGGATGTGCCTGTATCTGGAGAGGGGGGTTGTCCCCTGTATTTTGTTTGCAGAAGCAGTGGCCTTGGAACAACCTCACTTCACACAGTGACAACTCTTCTAGGATGAACAGCTGAACACATGATATTAAAGATGGATGGGTTGTTCTTTCCCTAAAGAAAGGTTGTGTGAAAGTGGTTTCCTCCTGCTTGAAAAACCAAAATAATCCATCCTAGAGAGGCAAAACCAGGTTACTGAAGGCCCTCAGCCACCTTCCCTAGTGCCATTTACTGAGAGCTGAGCTCTCAGGTGTTTTTCTGTAAATCATAACCATGGCCAAGATGAGATGGATTTCTGCAATATGACTTGAAACCTGCATTCTGTGCCTTGAGTTTCACGCTTCAGTGTTCCTAATGTAACTAATACAGTGTAATGTTATAAATAACATTAGTCATTTGAAGTGGAGATGAATTTCAGCTGGATAGGGGCCTAAATGTATAGTTAAGATGTTTAAAGAAACCTCAGTCTCAGCAGTTGAAGTAAAATGGCTGTGGAGGAGGCATTTTTGCCCTAGAGTTGGGATTTTCAACCTTCTGGGTTTGTTTTTATTGCTAATTGCTTAAATAATGAAACACATTTCTGGATTCTAGTTTAAAATGTCCCATTGCAAAGCTGAGTGTTACTAAAGAAATGAAATAATGGCTTTCCCCCAGGGACAGAGAGATAACACGAATTATATCATTAATAATTTATTGTTAAACAGTTGTTTGTTGTGCAATGCCTTGTGGTGTGGCAATAGCATTCAAATTAAAGAAGTTAATTTGTCTTAAGGAGAGACTATCACGTTGCGAAAAACGCTGCCTTGCTTTTGTTTGGATAACTTGGTGCTTCCTAGATGAAGGCAGTTCTCTTCATACAGCAGTTACTGTCCTGCAGTGAAGCATATATACATATGCCTGAGGGTTTGTGGTGTATTGCTGTACAGAAATTCAGAATGGATGTCCAGTTGGGCTGACACCCTGGGAACAGTTTCTCTCCCTGGAGTGGGTGTGCTGGAGACAGATTTTTAGCCTGAAAACAAGTTCTGGAGCTGCAGATCCAGCACTCTTCCCAAGCACTGCTTCCACGGGCCCAATGTTCTTGTCAGCTGAGACAGACTAATAGTTTTCAATGGATCATATATTGGACTATGTTCTTAAAATAGTCAGTGCTTTCTGGGTTCCTCAGTTCTCCCAGGCTGACCTCCCTGATTGATGAGGAACCTTCACTCTGAAAATCAGTCCTTCCCAGGTCATTAAAAAGCACTAATTGTTTTGTCAACTTAACCCTCTTTTTTGCCTCCTAAAGACTTCTAAGAAAAGCAAAGCAAACTCGCATGATTTTAACCATACAGTATTTCCCAAAAGGCATGTTTGATTTGTTTTGGTCTGTTGATACACGGCATGGGATCACAAACACATTAATCATTAATGCAGGTGACTAAAGTGAAACCATCATCTTTCTGATACAGGTGATCTGTGCAAAATGCTCCGAGTTCAAGCCACTTGCAGATAACAGCCGTCACAACCGAGTGTGTAAGGAGTGTTTCCTGCAGCTGCCAGCGAGCCCCTGCAGCCCTGGGGTGGAAGCAGTTGGAGAACAGAAGAAAAGACTGGCTGCAGAGGTACAGTCTTTGGCTAAGAAACTTTGTGAGGCTCTCTTTTTTTTTTTTTAGTTTATTTATTAAAAACAAATCAAATTGGTTATCTTTTCTCCCCCACTGTGCTGTTTGTCAATGGTGAGCGTCTGTCGTAGGGTGCTGATCACACAGGGATGCACACGGGTTTGGCAGTTAAGCTCCAGCTCCTAAAGTTACAAAAGAAGAGGGAAGAACCTCTGACTCCTTCTTATTATGATGCATTTCCAATCTTGAGCTGTGCACAATAACTATTCACAAAATAAGATTTTGTTTTTTCACTTTTAATTCCACATAGTGGATACTTCTGCACTCCTTATTTCACATCCTGTCCATTTTTTTCTTAGTTGATTGTGCAAAAGAATGGCATCCTTCTGGAAGACCATGAGGATTCACCAGAATTTTCTCAACCCTGCTGTAATGCAGGCTCTTCCCTCCAAAATGGGACTTCCACAAGCTGTCCTGTGTAAACTACCTGCTTCACCATTGCCACAGGAGTCACCACGTTTTACAGCTTGAGAGCAGCACATCCTACCCTTATTTTTTACAAGAACAAGGAACATGTTGGCAAACTGAACCTTCTTTTAACTAATGCTTTTTTTAGACCATAGGCAGAGCTGGGAGTACCATTACATGTCACGCTTTTCATGAGCCACCTTGGAGAAAAGGGGTTTATTTACTTCACCTGTGAAACACAGCCAGAAGTCACTGTGTGAAAGAGGATCTTCATCTCAATTAGAAGTGGACCCACAGGGACATCAGGTTCTTGAAAGAGCCACTGACACACTGAGAACTTCATTGCAAGTTGTCCTTCCCCCATAGTCTGACCTTCACCATCCTGTTCTGAGTACCTCATGGAAAAGCTGCCAGGTCTGCAGACCATGGAGAAAGTTCTGGAGCCAGAACTTTTTTGATACCATTCAGATATGGTGCCCCTGCCCATGGCAGGGGATTGGAATGAGATGGTCTTTATGGTCCCTTGTAGCACAAGCCATTCTGTGATTCTGTGATGTACACTGCAGCTGTGCCTGCAGATGCTGAGCTCTCCATGGGCATCAACACAGCCTCTGGTATCTCATGACAAACTTTCCAGCACTGTTTCAGCAGAGGTGTTTGTGAAAACCTGCACCTACCCAGGGGAGAGAGAGCACAGTTAATCTGAAAAGCCGAAGGCAAAGCAGTGAAATGTGACCTATGGCTTTACTTCAGAAAGCAGATTAGAGCAGAAAGCTGTAAAAACCCAAGGAAAAGTGTCATTACTCCCTTCTATGCTCAGGCTTCTGTTTTTCTGTTGAACCTTCAAAGGATCAGGTAAAATGCAAGAAAGCTGGTGTATAGAAAGGAAAGATCAGGGTCAGGCTTTTTCTTTTCCTCCTGTTTACATGAAACTTTGTTAACAAGCTTAGTAGCAGCTGAGGACATTGCCGCTAGATGTTATTAACAGCTGTCAGAAATCTCCAGGAGACTTCTGTGCAAACCCTAATGTGACCAGGAATTTTGGGGGTTTTTGCCTTCTCTCAGAACACAACAATTTCTTCCAATCTTTTTTTGCCCTCTGATTTGGCTCCCATCTTTCTGCATCCACGCACAAGAGGATCTGTTAATACACCCTTTGCATTAATTTGAAATAATCTGCCAGCCTACTTTGCTAAGCAAGAAATGAGCTGCATCATCTTAATTACCATTCTCAATTTACTGTGTGGAGGGGGAATTTAACTTCATGTCTGCTGAGAATGGTGGTTCAGCCTCTACCTCTGTTACATGGAATTGTCTATTTATTGATGATATATAATAATGATTTTTATTCAGTTATGGGCTCTCCAGCATTTACCCTCCAGTGTTCTTTGACTCTGCACAACTTAAATGTTTTATACTTAATTCTAAATATTTTGTCCAGTTAAACATCAGTGGAAACAGCTCTTTTTTTTTTTTCTTCATCCAGAAGCAAAGCATCCTTGCAGCTGAAAACAGCCTCTTCAGCAGCTACCTCCAGTTCCTTGAAAAAGGGAAGACTTGGTACAAAATGTGGGTGGCCATCCCCAAGACTGAACCTCTTGTTTTATATCTGCAAGGAAGCAGCCAGGTAAGATGGCATTTGTGAGGGTTAACATACAAGAAAAAGAAAAGTATAAGTTTAAATATATCAAGCGGAGAAATGGGTCAAAGGATTTGGCTTGGTTTCAACAACAAAACTGAACTTGGTGTTCTCAATATAGCACAAAGCCTCAGAGATTTCAGATTACCTTGTTGCCTGTACTTACTGCTGATACCGTTGTGAGCAAATGTTTAGTCTCATCGCTTTTCTTTTCAGATTTTTAAGAAAAAAAAGGGAAAAACAGGGATAATTAGGTTATGTTTTGGCTTTTTTAGAGGTTTCAGATAGGTATATTCAAAAGTTTTATTATTCTGTCATTAAGGAAACCACTTTCTTGTTAAAAGTATAGAGCTGTGAAGCAGGCTGAATGTTGCAATTGCTGCTACAGGCCTTTTTTTTTTTAAACGTAGTTCTGGGTTGAGAGGGTGGAGGAATTTGTGAAAATGTCATTGTTCTTCAGCCTGAGAAATGGTAAAGCTCCTTGTCATAGCATCATGGGATTTTATCTTTACTTGAAATAGTTACATGAATAAGATTTTTTTGTTTCTAAATGTGCTGTTGTGCGTGATGACAGTCAAGTGATAGAAACATCTATATCCAAGATAGAATATCCAAAATAGAAATATCAGTCATGCTTTCTCAGCGCTGAAGATAAAGAATGACAATGCTGAAATGAGATTCCCCATATCCAGTTTTGTATCTGGCATTTGACACATTTATACACAGCTTTGTTTGTCTCCTGGGTGGGATGGAAGAAGGAATGGGTCTGAATTCAGCCTGCCATCGTCCTGCTGTAGCTGTAGTGATAAGAAGGTTTACTTTTTATTGGCATCAGTTTGTGGCTGGAAACAGTCTGGGAACTCAGTTTTCCCCCTGATTTTATAAAGCCTTTCCAAGTAAAGCTCACCCTGTAGCTGGTGTTCAACAAGCACTACATGTTGTCCTTAGAACTCTGTGCATTTTGCTGCTTGTCAGCAAGAGCACCTCTGGCTTCAAACAAGTGTGTGTAATGGTTTAAACATAGAGCTTAAAGAGGCCGAAAGCTTGAATTTGGAGCTTCAGACACAGCCCCCTTGACTTCATCTTTGATTCCAACCCCACACTGGGTAAGCCTCCAAATGCCTGGCTTCTCTCTGAGTCAACAGGAAATGCGTGGCTGAAATTACATGTTGAAAAAGCAAACAGCCTCACACGAGGCACTAAAACAAGGCAACAAACTCAGTCTTTGGGTCTCTCTTGGAGTCAGGGTCTAGGGAAAGGAATAAAGCTTTAAAAAGCTAAGCAGAGAAAATGGCTTTGCTGTGCAGCTTTTCAGCTGATGTGCCTGATTGTATCACATTTGGGCAAGAGGAGTGGGAATAGAAGGAGAGAGGTCTAAATTCTTTGGCCTTCCTCACCCAAGAGCAATATATGACATCTAAGAGATGTATCATCTAAGAGATGATCAGAGTGAGAAGCTGAGAGGAAACAACACCTCTTACCCAGAAATGTAGAATTTCTCCTACTACCCAACTGGCTGTTGCAGGACAGCACAAATAATAACCCGTGGACATAAATCACCTGCGTTCAGTGCACACAGAATGATGCTCGATTCTGCAGGCCCCACCTGACAGTTGTGCAAAGCCAAGGGTGGAAGCTGGAGGAGCTTCTCTCCTTCAGTTGCTGCCTACTTTGTCCATGTCCTGCCAAATTTGATCTGGAGTCTCTGTTGATATTATTAGTAAGGTCTTATTTTTTAAGGGAAAAGGTTGCCTTTGACACCACTTGTCAATTTTATGACAGTTAAATTTAGTGGTTATTGTCCTCAGCTATTTCAGGTGTGAGATGAATCTCCCAGTAAAGTGGCAAGAAAGCAACAAGACAAGGTTGATCTATCTTAACATTCCAGAACTGGGATTTGCTGTGAGGAATCACCAGTTGCAGGCTGAGACTATGAACAACTGTCTGAGTTTTACTTGGCTCCCCACCAAGTCCCAGACCCAACACCAAAATACCCCCAGCTCAGTGCTAAGGAAAAACTATGAAAAATCCAAACTAGCCAAACTTCTATGAAAATAAATGTATTTATGACATGTACAGCTATGTACGGTTGAAATACCATGCACAACTCCAAGGGAAAGGGAAGGGAGAAGGAAAAAAAGGAACAAAACCAAAATAAAATATACATGATCACAAAACCAAAATAAAATATACATGATCGATAGCCCAAGATCTGGCAACTAAAAGAATTAGCAAAAGAATATCTTACTACTCTCCTTGGAACAACAGAAAGTCACACTGGAACGACCACCGGCAACCTCTGCTGCCCAAGGTTGGCAAGGCCTTACCAGGCCTCACTAGGCCTCACCAGGCCTCACTAGGCCTCACCAGGCCTCACTAGGCCTCACCAGGCCTCACTAGGCCTCACTAGGCCTCACCAGGCCTCACTAGGCCTCACTAGGCCTCGCTCCCCAACACAACAGACTCAACAGCAGGGAACCCGCATCTCCAAAGCTGCTGGAAGGAAAGAGAGCGAAGGCCTCTCCTCCTTTCTTCTTATACTCCGGCTTACGTAAAAATCGTAGGGAATACTGGGTAAATCTGGGCACTTCCTTGGTTGCAAACTGGTCACCAAGGAAGGCCCAGACTAAACTACTACAACCACAAAAATGAATCCCTTCTTCAAGGGCCTGCCATTCCCATTTGTATACCTCAATTTGCATCCAACTGCAGGAAAAAAAATTAGGCAGCAAATCCTATTCCTTGATATTAACCCAACATTCTTGTCAGTTCTGGTTTTCATAGGCTTCTGAGGAAAGTCTTTTCCAGAGCTGCTTTACTGGTGTCTGAGTGTCTGAAATCCATTGGGAACCACTCATGTGCTTGAATGTTATTTTCCCAGGCATAGTTGTGTTTTGTACAACCACCTTGGTGGATCTCACAGACGTCTTTAGACTTTCCAAGAAGCATTTCAGTGCCTAAAAGAGGTGCCTTTTGGGAGTAATATTGCCAACAGTAGTATTAAAGGTCTTGAAACACAGAGTAAAGCATGACCATAGGAGTTTGAAAGTTAGGGGATTATTGTTAAGAAGAACAGAAAGAGTAGCTGCCTCTTGGGAAGAAGGAGCAAACCAAGCTGCATCTGGAGTTTTGGATGCAGTAAAAGCCCTGACAGCTTCTTCCTCTACACCCCTGGCCCTCACAGCAAAGAAGGAATGCCAGTGCAGATGGAAACACAACTCACAGACTTTAAAATAGCAAGAAAACTGCTCTTTGCTTTAGATCCTTGTTCCGGGAGAATGAATTAATCCCCTGATTGTTCTTAGTTTGTCTTGCATAAGGCTTTATGCATGAAGATAAATTCCCAGCTTGTTTAGGTTTGGGAATCATACCAATTTGACCTGTCCTCAAACCGAGACAGAATTTGTGTAGCCGTCTGTCATGTTTATCTCAGTGGAGTTACAAGAGTTTGCTTATAAGCAAAGACCACTTCAAGCGTAAGGAGCAGTGGATTTAGAGAAATTAGTCTGTCTTTCCAAGGGCTCCACCTGGAGCTTCTGCCCCTGTTTGCCTCCACAGCTCTGACACAAACTTATCTGAGTAATAAGTGCAGAGTTAAGCCATCCAGGCTGGGTAGAAAAGTAGTGGATTTTGGAGAAGTAAGAAGGGTGAATCTAATATAGTGAGAGCTAGTGTATATATGGATATATATGTATGTATTTTGGATCAGCTTTGATCCAAGAGAAAATTTTGCTTTATAAAGAAGAAAAATCTTCTGTTTGTTGTGTAAATGTGATTAACTTTTAGAAAATAAGAGAGTAGCTGAGTTTGAAGTTGAGCTCAGGGTTTTAGAGAAGTATTTTTTTGGCTTGCCTGTTGATCCTGTTTAGGAGAAGCTTTACCTGGCTCCACACAAAACTCTGCCTGCGCTTTTTGTGGTGATCGTGATTGGGCAGTGGGTGGAATTTGGGTGGAAAAAAACAGGGGTTTTCTAAACCCTCTTAAAAGTAGGAGGGGGGAATGACCGTGGTGCCGTTGGTGGGTCACTGTTGGGTAAGAGAGTTTATACAGTGCAAAGAGCTGTGCAGTGCAGGAGGGATGTCTGTGTGCAGGGTGCCTGGAATAGAACTGCCTGTGTGGTGGAACTGAGCTGTCCATTCCCAGATCTTAAACCCTGGGTGTTGTAATTGCTGTAATACAGCAACGAATTCATGCTGCTGTAATGACCTAGATAATAACCCATTTGTGTTATGCTGCAGAGAGTCAGGATGGGTGCACAGTGCTTGTGATTGCTGATGGTATTACACAGCCACTAGATTTTTATCTATCACTCACTATTTGAGAAACATGATTGCAATCAGCCCTAAAGCAAAGCCCTTCTCAGCACTGGGTATTTTGGTTTGATGAAATATCAATATCGTGCAGCTCTACTGTGCTGCATACAGAAATATTAAGAAGAAAAAAAAAAACCAAAGCAGTCCAACCAACCAAATCTGGTAGGCTCTTGAAACTGGAATACGAATTTTGTCTCTGTAAGGTCTGTAAATCCTACTTCCATGCTCAGGGTAGGGCTGGAATTCCCCATGGGTGCAGAACAGCCTCTGGATTTGCTGGGCTCCAGGTCAGAGGGCATCCAGAGGTGCTGCTGGTCCCTCAGTGAGGTTGGGATTTGGGGTGGGGTTTACCTTGAGGCCAAGTGCTTCGCCTTTACCTGTCAGTAGTGCAGCTTTTCAGAGATAATGTAAATCCCTTCCTTTTGAATTAGGCAGGTACAGACAAAGTGCCAAAGGCAGCATATTAAGAAAAGGGAGGATGCAAGAACCAAAGGCAGGCTGGTTAATTTGCCTGTGTCTGCATATGCTGGGTAGGTGCAACACTGTACAACTCAAACATCAATTTGCTCTTCTGGTGCACTGCTACAAACGACATCATTCGTCATTGTCATGGGCAGCCTCCAGTTCTCCATGTGACAAGTCTGAATGTCTGTTTTTCCAAACCAAGACCAGCGAAACAGGCATGGTTGAGCTTGCATGTGCTCTTGTGCATTTGTGTGCATCAGTCCCATGTTTGCTTGCTTGAGCAGTGCCACATGTGCAGGGCTGGAGCTGCTCTGTACATGCCAGTTCTTCTTCTGCATGGGCAAGATCTCCCCGTTTATAGGGATGTGGCTGTGGTGTCAGGGTATAGAAACTGTGCTGCATTTGAGACAACTGTTTACACTCAAATGGGAACTGAATTCTTTAGTGTTTGGCCTAAGGCTGCCTTAAATCTCATTGAATAGTGCTTGATCTTCTAGCAGTTGGGCTCTGGCATTTTTGCATGTAGTAGATGAATAAATCAGGAAGCCTGTATTGATGTAACAAACTGTGTAGACACATTTTTGACTGTGTATTTCTTGCTCCTTTAGTATGTGTTTGAATTGATGTGAGCAGTTTTGAAACTTGAATTACTTTAGTCAAGGTGTTAGAAAAGTAGGGAATTTTTTTGGCCATTGTTCTTAGAGCTTTGATCCTCTTCCAGATTTACCAAGTTGTCTGCATTTGGTGTGGGCTGGAAGAAGAATGACTTTGCCACTTCTCTGTGGGATATTGGTTAGCTTTGGTAGGGGCTGCTACACAAGGAGCTGCTACAGGAGCTGCTACAGGAGGTGATGCTTGATGCCTGTGTGGTTCAGACTTGAGTTTGGGGACTTGTCTTTGGAAATGCGTTGCTGGGAGCAGTTGAAGAGAGTTGCTTGGCCATGGCACACCCTGCCTTGCTAAAATATGTCTTTCCCAAGAGCTTAGAAGAGGAGTTGGTTGATGCTCAGGATGTGACTGTTAGAGAGGTGTATTGCTGCTTAGATCTGTGAATCAGTCTGGCCAATAAAGGATGCTCAAGAACCTGAGCATTGACTTTCTTGACAGTTCTGAGAGGCATCATAAATAACCCAAGACCTTCTGTGAAGATTCACTGTTAGACTGAAAATCCAAAAGTCTCTTTTATTTCAGTGTCTTTTCCCTGTTGGTTGTCTCTCAGGGTCCAGCTCTGCTTATTTGTTTCCTTTTAACCAATCCTCAAAAATGTCCCATGAAGTTCAAAAGGGAACTCAAACTCTTCTCAGCTGGATCCCATTGCCTGTACCTAATGCAAAGGAATTTCTGTAAAAGACACATGCCTAAGTTACGTGAAATTATATGAAAATCCCTGGGCATGTTTAGTTTACAGTGAAAGGAAATGTGTGCAATGAGAAGAATAAAGCACCAGTAAGTCGTTGCTTTTCCTTGGGTAAGGTCGAGCAGTCGATATCGCCTCTTCCCTGCTTTCTGCGCCGCAGTGCTGAACGAGGAGCCAAATGCACGTGTCCCTGGGACTGCATCCGTGTGCTTCCTGCAGTGTGTGCACTATGCCCCCTTCCTCCCACTTCAGTGCCGTTCGTTCCTGAATTTTGACATTCCTTCTCTCTCCTTTAGGACGGGCGGAGCCCACGTCCCATCCCTCTGCCTGGCTACGAAGTCAGTTTACCAGGTTCTGGTGAGAAGTTTGAAGTGAAGCACGTCTTTAAGCTTTGCCAGTCCCACCAAACTCTCTATTTCAGTGCAGAAGATGAGGAGCTGCAGATGAAATGGATGGAAATTCTCACCAAAGCCGCCAAAGGGGAGACTGAGGATACAGCTGAAGGGCTCAGCAACCCATAGAGCAAGTTCCATTTAGTTTCTTTCCTACATGCTATAAACGATCACTTGAATTTGGTATTCATGGCACTTTGGAATCTGTACGGCTTTATATTTTCATGTGTCTGCATAGGAAATTCAGTGGTTTCTTGCCTTTTATTGTACATTTTCCACGTCCAGTAGTTACCTGCCATATATTATGTTAAAGGAAAAAGTAGCTGTAGTTGTTGGTGGTGTCGATGATGCTGGTTTTAAAACAAAAGACAAGGAGCAAAGCATTAATTTTAACAAAGGTAATGGAAAACCATCGGTCTTTTGTTTTCCTAAATGTATATTTTCCAGTCCTTTTTATTGCTGTTGAGTGCAGGATGTGTATAGTCTGTGATTAGTTCTATAAATGCTGCCTTTTAAGTTAAATGTTGTAAAGGCTTGTGCTGGCCACTGACATTCCATTCTCTGCCTCTCCCTCCTGGTAAAAGGTCCTTGTGAAGTGTGAGCAATGTACTGAGTATTTTCCCTTTGCTAAAACTATGTCTCTGCTATTTTGAGATGACCTGTTCACAAGACAAATACTGTAGAAGGGACTTGTTAAAATGACTGCAAATGGTGCAGAATAGAACATTAAGAAGCCTCAATGATTTTAAGCATTTATATTATTGATTGTTTTCATTTGGAACCAATACCTTCCTTTCTTCTATTGGAACCCGTTTTGATGTAAGTGAACAAACATTTTATACTGCCAACTGGGTAATGATCAATAAACAAGAACATTTTTAGTACACACCATACAAAAAGGTGACTTTTTTGTTGTATTGGTTAATTTAAGTGGGCTAGGTTTTATTTATATAATTTGTAAATAATGTTACATAAGTATTTTAAGAATTTTTAAAAGACTTCAGCTGAATAACAGGATTTAGTGCATAGTATAAGAGATATTTGTATGAATTGAATTTGTAATTTACTTTTCCTGTTCACCTGTGTTTATCTTATTTTCAAACTTAAATGCTTATCTATTTAAATAAAATTTCCTGCAGTTAACTCCTGAGCCAGATTTCCAAGGCACAGCAAGGTTTAGGTCAACATTTAATATAGGTTTAAAAAAAAAAATCTAAAAAAAATCTAAAACAAAAAAAAAAGGCATGTCTGTTCCTGGTGGTAGTAAGCATGTAGTATCAATCAAAGTGAAATAAAACATGTCACAGTGCTGTATTTTTAAATGGTTTGGTTTAACTTTTGTTTTCTCTTCAGCCTCCTACATTTTCTGATATTGGTAGCGAGGAAGAGCTGCTCCATACAGCCAGAGCTTGTTAGGATTGTTGAAAATTAGTGATCTGCATGAGTGAGTATAATTCAGACCTACAGAAAGGGACTTATCCTTGTTTGGGGTTTGGTTTATTTTTTACATTGATGTAATAAATCATGTATCTGAAGTCCATGATGGTAAAAAATTAGAATCCATGTATTTGATTTATCTACTGGGAAAATTTCATCAGACTTGCATTTTCCCTCTCCTCCCTACCCATCACTTCCCATCAGTCAACACGGAAAAGATTTCTTGAAGAGTAATTTGTCGTATGTGAAGGAATTGTTTTCAGTGTGTGTTATTTCTTCTCCCAAACTTCCTTGAAAATATAATGGGATAGAGTGTTTGCCTTGAAAAGTTACTCATTTATTAACATTTCTTTTTTTGGAGGTGGGGATTTTCTTCGTTCGTTCTTTGTTTGTTTGGGGGGTTTGTTTGTTTCGGTTTATTTTGTTTTAAAGTTTTTCCTTTTTTATTCTGCTTGCTTGGTTCTTTTTCTTTGATACCAAGAAAGGAATGGGAAGGGAGAACGGTAAACCAAAACAAAACTGACACATCTCAGTCCATCCTCCAGTTTCTGTTTTTATTAACCAAGCAAAAAAAAACCACTTTGGCACACTCTTTTTTTTCCTCCAATTTTTCTTCATTTTGTTATTTTTTTTAATAACCAAGTGTGTCAAAATACACATCTTTAAAAACAATTAAAAAATAATTATAGAGAATATCTGCAGTGTAGCTGCAGTGTTGACACACAGTGGCACCCGGGGACATTTGTGTCCAGGTTCTCATGCGGCAGCTTTGTTCCTGGGGTGTCTGTCCACTCTCAGGGGACACTTCAAGGAACCTGCCTGGGGAATATCTGCTCTATCACTAAGCCCTGAATCATCAGGAGCTTTTGTAGTTTAAAGCCAGCAGTGTAAACCCTGTCTGCAAAACAAATACAAGCCCATCTTTTAATAATACAGGGAATAATCACTTCAGACTCCCTTGAATCCCGGTTAATTCGTGTATCAAACATCAGTAGGTGTTTTCTCTCAAGCACTGCTCTTCCCTAGGGTTTGATTACTGTCAGTCAGGGTGCAGGTTACAGGAAGCAGTGGTCAGTCTCATTTTTATGTTCTGTTGATGGAACTGTAATTTTTAATTAAATGACCCCATTGAGTGGAGAGTTGTAACTGAAAAACTCATGGTGTTGGTAAGTGGGGTGAGGGGGATGGTGAGCAGTCCTTAGTAATTGAGTAGCTCAGAGGAGGGTGATGAAAATGTCAGGATTTCTTTTTAATGGTTGAGGAAAGGAGGAGGAGATCTGATTCTCATAGAGGACACTAGATTTCTAGAATTTTGGCTGTTATTCGAAAAGAACTTATATTGAATGATACAGCTGGAAGTATTATTCTCAAAGAATCACATTATATTGTTTTTGAAGCAATTCTGAAATAGTTGAGTATCTTTATTAATTTATTTGGTTATTTGAAAAAAGTCATCAGTATAACAGGCATTTATCAAGGCACAAAGTGAGCTCCGAAACATGAATATTACCTTGTATTCATATGAAAGGCAGCAATACTTTTTTCACGTTCTTTGGGATGAGGTAACAAATGGTTAGGGGTTTTCTTACCTATTTTACATCCTAGGAGAGTTTCCCAGAACCAGCTGCCCACCCATACTGAAACTGGAGATGAAAGCTGGTGGTTCAGCCTCTCCGACAGCCGCGTTACATCCCTCGTGGCCTTTCACCAGCAACACGGAACATTTCCCTGCTAAATATAAATGACTGTGTCCCCTGAAAACAAGCACCTTCCCTTTTTACCTACCTACCATTTCCCTTTTTCTGTTCTTCAGCCCATGTGGGGCATGGCGAGGGTTTTCACTGGGCTTGGACTCTGCTCTAGGTGCTGCAGGAGTGTTGGTGGAGGTTGGTGGAGGGATTTCATGCTACTGTAAAATGAAACCTTGCTCAGACAAGCTTTTCAGAGAGCCAGTTGCTGGCTGTGCTTGCAGATCATGTGTGATCTGAAGAATTCTGTTTGGTGTCTCTGAAACAGAGTTTTGGGGAGCTGTAACTAGCTTTGGGGATGACTTGCTCAAATGCAGCAAAACAAACCTTGGCCGCCTTAGAATTACTGCATTTGAGCATCAACAGTGTGCGGGAGTGTTGCTGAGACAAATCTTGCCAAAGTGGTTCTAAATTCAGACAACAAGTCCTCCAACCTGGAATAATCTATATAAGCTTCACCGATGCATTTAAAGGAACTTAGGAAAAATCTGGTTTGGGAGCAGCGTGTGCATGGAGTGTGCACTCATCAGTGGGAGTCATGTGCAGCTTGATAAGGAAACAAATGGAAATCCCAACAATTTACAGAGACACTGTGCTCCTGTGTGTAGACTGCACGCACTCTGTGTTAGAAAACCCTGACTCCCAAGTCCCCAAATTTGTCATGTGGACCTGCTATGTCTGCAAATGTTGAGTAACTTCCCTATGTTTCAGGAACATGCTCTGCAGACATGGGGGTTTCTTAGTTCCCCAGTCGGATCAAAGAGGTTACGTCTGGTCTGTAATAGTGTCTTTAAGTCTGAAGAGGAGTAGGCAGTTATCCCACCATCTCAGAATGGGCAGGAATCTGTCAATACTTCTACCTTGTGTTACAAGAATTAGCCATTTGCCCTATAGCTGTTGTGCCATAGTGGTCTGTGACTTGCAAGAAGAGGTTCAACTGGAAAATATGATGTTGTCCCAGTTCTAGTGCTGAAGGAGATGCTTTCGGATTCCAAGCTGAAGATGGCAATGTTTGGTGTGAAACTGGTGACAGCTGACTTCCAAGTTGAGTAAGAATAACTAAACACCATGTCTTGGCCCCGTGAATGCGTTATTGATTTCACTCTCCATGTAGGGCAGCACATTTTTGCTTTGATAAAAGGCCCAGTATTGACTCTTGATTATACTGAAGCTGTAAAGAGATCTCTGGAAGTTTTAGTTTTTCAACACTTTGAAGTTGCCTGTGGTGTTAAGGTATAATAGTCTAGGTGCTTTGGGCAAATCTGGAAGCATTGGGACATTTCCACAGGCAGCCATGGGTAGGAATTTGTGTTAGGAAGTCCAGTGCCATAGTGCTGTTCAAAGGATGGACAGTCCACTTAATTTTTTGACAAGGAAAATTGTATTTTGGAATTTTGTGTTTTAGAATTCTTTTTTTCATTACAATAAATACTGATGAAACCACACCATGGAGAAAGGGAGTAACACAGCAATAGAATTAAAATAGGGAGACCTTTCTACTGGAAACAATGTGAAAGGGAAATACACTGAGTGTGTGTAAAACTCTTAGAGTAAGGTAGAACTTCAGGGGTTGTGGTTCAGCAGGTGGGGAGAGGGAGCAACAACAGACTAGTTTTGGTAGCAAAATTGGTTGTTACAGAAGAGAGAAAATCTGATGCCTGTTCCTTAGGCTGTGCCAGAGACACCCATTACTAAATTAATCACTGGTCCTGTGCACGTTCAGTTCACCTGGGCAGAACTAGACCTATTTGCAGAACTTGAGTGCCCAGAGAAGAGTGTGTGGACCACGTGCTCGTCAGTTCATGTGAGGAACTCCCTTTTGATAATCAAACTGCAAGTCCCTCTGTTAAACCAGTGCCAAGAAGCATCAAATTCTTGGAGCTGGGTGGCAAAAGATCTCCTTGAAGTCGTGTTCAGTGACAGGGTGAGATTGGATTGATTTAATCAGCCACTGCAGGCTTGTCTGCCTGAGTTTGTCAGTAGTGTGTGACACAGGGCTGTGTCCACGTGCTGCTGTGTGTCAGTAGGAAGGGGACTTGCCATACTGCTTGTGTTGATAAAAGCAAAGCTTAAAGATAAGTGAATGGCAGAGGGAGCTGGAGCACACCTGTAATCAACTCACAGTTGTTGCACAAAATGAGGCAGTGGAGAGTAACTTCCTCAGTTCTGTGGATCTGAATCTTCCTTGGAGCAGCTCATCCTGTGCACTTTAATGCATCTCACAATACCTGTAGAGATGGAGATAAACATCTGCAGACAGGGGACATTCTGAACATGACCCAGTTCTGAAGTCTTTTGTTTTGCAGTGCAATGTTTCTCCAGTAATTTCAGGACAGGGGGACAGAGTTGTGAATGGTTTCTGCTTAGAAAAATACCATCTTGCTCCCATTTTCATTATCCAAGGAGTTGCAACAGCAAAGATTTCTGCTGTAAGCCAATAAATGGTATCATTATAGGATGTTATCAAATAAATTGCTGGTAGGGATTTGAGACAGGGGAACACTGCCCGTGGTTTTGCTGAATTAATGGTCGTGTACTTGTGTGTGACTGGAACTGAGGAGTGATGGGGCCTGGTAACGCACAGCCTGTGGAGCAATTCCCAAAATCATGCTGGTTCATGACTTTCTAAATAAACCAGAAGGGAAGAGCCCTCATGGAGCCCTTGTGTCCATAGTTAGGGCTTAAGGCAGTCAGATGAGGGAATGTGCTCCAGCTGGGGAAAAGGGGTGACCAGAGTTCCTAGATACATGTTTTAGTATAACATTAGGGAGTGTATTGCCAGGTAAGAAAACACAACGGGGCTGTGTTGTTTCCTCCAGCCTGCTGATCATCCACAAAGATCATCAGATCCTGCTGGGGCCAGTCCAGAGGAGGCCACGGAGATGCTCCAACGGCTGGAACCCTTCTGCTCTGGAGCCAGGCTGGGAGAGCTGGGGGGGTTCACCTGGAGAAGAGAAGGCTCCAGGGAGACCTGAGAGAGCCTAAAGGGGCTCCAGGAGAGCTGGAGAGGGACTTGGGACAAGGGCCTGGAGGGACAGGAGAAGGGGGAATGGCTTCCCATTGCCAGAGGGCAGGG